CATAAACAAGTATGTTCCTGAAACAACATAATGAATTTATCAAAGTATATAACTTACCGCTCGAATCTGCAGTAGCTTATAGCTAAGAAGAAGTTTGCAATACTTGTCAGCAATGTGCTCTTCTTTTCCTTCATTCAACATTAATCGATTCTATAAATTTTTTGCAATAACCATTAACAACATTCAAGTGTACTTGCTGCTATGTATGATTAACAGTAAAACAACCTATTTAAAACGTACCGAATAGCTTGGATCAAGCATAATACGCTTGCTTCTGTTGACAAAGTCCCTGGTGGCCCATTGCTTGTTGTATAGGACGCTGGCCATTCTAACATAATCTGTTGAAACCCGCGACTTATAGTGCACCACTTCATAGCAATCCCTCTGGCTCGCCTCTTGGTGGTCACACTTTATCAACACAGTACCAGGGCTAAGAATCACCAACATAACATCAAATAAGCAGATAATATGATTAGAATGATTGATTAACATTTGCGATTAAGAAAATGGACATCAGTTATAATTTGAACATCATGAAGGGGTACTCAATTACCTGAGTGGATCCTTCTGAAGCTTCCAGTCCTTAACAAACTTGATCAAACGTGCCTCGCACGATGTATGCCTCCTACTCTTTGCCGCGTTGCTAAACAAGGCTGCCTGTGTAGGCTTCACCACCCTCTTGTCACCACTTTTCTCCCCAATCCCATCACAATCATCTTCCTCATCACATGAAGAGTAGCTTGCAGAAGTACACTGAGCATCAACCAAAACAGTTGTTCCCCTAGTTCCTAACAACCCCACAACTATTTGTGGTCCAGGCTCCATGTCGTCATTTTTTTCATCTTCCAATTCTGCTTCGGAAGCGCTTTGAAACTCTGGCCCCTCCATGGCTCCCAAACCCTCCTTGGCTTCTGCCCCAATAACACCCTCCTTGGCACCTGCCCCATCAAGACCTCCCATGACTTCTGCCCCATCAACACCACCCTTGGCTTCTGCCCCAACGACTTCCTTCCCAGGAAGCCCCTCCCCTACTATTGTTGAATCGATGATTGATATCGATCCAGCAACAACCGTTCCACTAGCACTGTCCTCACCAACAGGATTTGTTACTTCCCTAACAACTTCCTTGGGCATGTTTGCTTTTCTTGTGCCTTTTGCACGATCAATACCCATACACATCATCCCATAGAACTGACGGAGGACCTCATCACACTTGCTGTCTATAACAGCCAGTAGCTTTGGAGTTACCTTATCAATCACCTAACGAGGAACACAAGTAAAACACATGAAACTCAAACTTTGCATTCACATATAAATTCTTATCACCTATTATACAAACAATTTAGACATAACGAGAATTAGTAAGTCGTACCTGCTGAGCAACCTGATCCAAATAACAGCCATCTGAAGGGACATCCCGACAGTCCAATGGATGCGGTTCTCCATAAGCAACATCCAGCGACTACAAAATAAAACCACAGAATGTTAACACTCTTCACTTAACTTGAATCTGAAATAATAACCCGAAACAATACAAAAATGAAATAACTCACCAGGAGCCGTCCATAGTCCCCCTTTCGTGTTTTTTTTGTCATCTTTTATAGTTGCATTAATTTTTTCCTGCGACCAAGCCTTCAACCTCGGTCTCATACCCCATGACTCAGGAACACGACTAAGGTGATCAAGATAATAAATCTGTATAATGGACACAAAGATGAAGAATATTTCAATCAGTCCAAGACAAGACACTCAAATGCAACCCAAACTAACACAATACCAACTAAAGACTAACAACTTAATTTAAACTAACAACTCAATTTAACATAACAACTCAATTTACGCAACAGACATTACTTACCAAGACGAACAAAATGCATCCGCCTGATCCAGCAACATATCCATCCTCAACAAATTTCTTCTGGAAATTCCTTGCAGCATTACACATCCACATATGCACAAAAATGCACCAGTCATACTCCGACGATTCATCATAAGTAAGTAAAGCTGGATATAGCTTCACTCCCAGATTTGTTGTGTTTGTCGTAGCACACAACAAGTAACCCAGTATCACAATAAGAAAAGCAACCTTGAAATTAGGCTTCTCTGCATCTGACAGAGGCAGCACATACCCATCCTTATCCCTAACAATCAATGCTCCCAATGCATTGGCAAGTGAAACGCTTTCTCCCTTGGCATACAGCCCCCTTAATCTCATCACTTCCGCCTGCTTCACCGGATCATCATCAGGAATAGTAGTAGGGACTGCCTTGGACCCCATTGGAACTCCCAGTACACATTGAATTGAAACAGGACTCATGGATTGCACATAGTTATCTCCAAATGCTATGGAGCCATCACCTAATACCCTTGTCAACAACCAATATGAAAATTTGCGTGGCAAAGTCGTTAGAGGAATGCTTAACAAACCTCCAAAACCCATCTCCGTCACAACCTTCTGCCTAGAAGAATCAAACAACCTAACCACAATAGACACAACCTTCACACCATTCAGGTTGGGGGCCTACAGCGGTAAGAAAAAACAATAAGCTCAACACATCCATTAACCACATCCAGTCACTACTTTTTACGATGCCTAATTTAACCACTAGCTAATTTACACCCAAATCACCTATATTAAGATAGAAAAAAAAAACCTACAAGTTACATGACACAAAACTATGAGCATACCTTCTGCGTTTTTCTTGATTGGGTTTTAATCACCTCCCCTTTCTCGACCACCAACTTCCCCTTGCTCTTCTTTACCTGCCCATACAATACCATTATAAACATTTAATCCTTGATATACTCAATATCACCAATGCAAGCTGTACTTATAAGGAACATGACATAGCCTTAGAAGGAACATAATATAGTTATATAGCCATACCTTTTGCTTCTGCTTTCCTTTACTTTTAACAGAAGGACCTCTCTTCTGCTTTCCAGTTGTTATTTTGTCTGCCAACAACTTCGCCAGCAAAGTCTCCCACAACTCTTTTTTTGAATCAACCTCCTCCACCTCATCTGACTCAGGTGGTCATCCTCACCTGACTCAGAATCAGAGTCACCAGAGGTACCAGAACCACTTTCTTCTGTACCCTCTTCCTCCGTATCTTCTAGTTCCTCACGCTCAAAATCAGGATCAGAAGCCTTCATCTTCTTCTTCCCTTTCGCAATATTTTTCTTTTTAGAGATCTCATCAGCATGAGAATTTCCTTGTTTTCCCTTGACCAAATCAGATCCATGCTTCCGCTTCATTTCTTTGAATCCTGCCATGGATAACATTAAGGACCCTTAACTACACCTACCTAAACACTGCAACAAGAAAAGCATATACTATATCCACATTCAAATAGCACATGCATAAATCAATGACTATTTCTCTTACTTAGTCTTCAATCCATCATCTATACACAAAAAAAAAAAAAAAAAAAAAAAAATTAAGCATGTATGCACACAAAATATTGATTTCAATTACAAGGACTACCCTTATAATTATTAAACAATTTAAATTCCCCTTCCAATATCAATACTACTAATCGCACAATCTAACCCAAATTGGTAAACAAAAGAATGCAGAATTATGCAAGAGCCGATGACAAAAGTTAAACATAGTGAGCATGCGTGGGTGAAAATCATACAGCACTACAGTCTGATAAAGTACACAAAGGGCTAGTTGGTGCCAAATAAATATCAAAGGAAACACCGAAGAACCAGAAACGAATCCCAGGATAAAAATATATAATTAAATGACAACCAAAAGAAAACCACATTTCAAATCACCAAAATTCATTTTAACCACAAAATTATACTGGCTTCATTAATCTAAAGCATACACCCCCAAAAACAAAGAACACAACACAGTCACCAATTGATATCCCCATCACATGCCAACAACGGATGATTGTATCAAACAAGGTAATAAAAAACACATAAGGCGACCAATTGGAACCACAATCAACCAAAAAAAACAACAAGCCTTGTAAAATCCATCTTTAAATGGCCTAATTAACACAAAAGAACTTCACATTCACCAATAATGAAATACCAAAACCAAACTACCTAAACAATAACGCATTTAACTCTGATTACATGTAAAAATAAACAAATAAATATTTCCATTACTTACTTCAATCTTTGATTTTCAATTATTCATTAAATCATGCAAGCACACAATAAAATGGTTACAATTACAGGGACCATCCATATAATTACACAATATCAAATCCTCTCGAAAACCAAAGAACCGTATGTTTAACATGCCACAAATAATTCAGAATCAAACAAAGAAACACTGATAAGAACCTACCTCAACCCACCCCTAACAAAGCTAAATCAAACAACCCACAGTTGCATGAACTCAGTACATTCAACTCGCAAAAAACCCTACTAAAATAATTCATTTAATCCAACTCGCATAATTGCTTACTCTACTTTCAATACATCACCAAATTTCAACATAACCACACCGAAAAAAACGATATTTCAATTATTTTAACATACACCCTAAATCGTATCAATTATACTTCACCGTAACCCTAATTTAAGTAAAAATTCGCAATTTAATTGAAATTCTAACTAATTACCCACTCAAATTACATCTACAAACACATATAATCCTTCGTCATTCGAGTAGCGAGATTTTTGTCATACCTTTTACAAGCAACACAATTTAATTCTGAATTGGGAACTTCTTTGTCCGGAAACAACCATACTTCGCTGCGCCGGTAAATTGAGCACCAAAACCCTACGATCACCCTTCGTCGGACTGGAGAAGATGAGAAGACAGAGAGAGGAGTGAAGATGAAGTGAAGAGAGAGAGAGAGAGAGAAGAGAGGGAAGACGAGAATAGAGAGAGATAATTAAATTTCACTTGCTTTGTAAGATTGCCAAAAACGAGGCCCCGTTACAATTCAAAAAATAACGGAGGCACATGCAAGGCATGTGATTTTTTATTCCAGCAAACAAGAGTTTATTCCTCTTTTGCCCTCCTATATGCTTCCTTCACCCATAGTTGCTATGCGCCCAGACCGACTCCTCCAGCAGTCCAGCATTCCAGCATATAACCAAAACTGTAAAACTCAAAAGCGCATCAACAATGGCGAAGTTCTGGAAGCCTGGAACCGAGAAACCTCGACTGGTAGAAGACGAAGATGGCGGCGTTCTCTTCTTCCATTCTTCCTCTTCATCTTCATCTTCCAGCTTCGGATACGCCAACAACATCCAGCAGCAGCGCCAGCGCCTGCCGGTGCATAAGCGCAGAGACGCCATTCTCTTTCTAGTTGAAAATCATGCTACTACCATTGTTGTCGGCGAAACTGGCAGCGGAAAAACTACTCAAATTCCTCAGGTTCTCTCATTTTCTTCAATTTTATGCTCAATTTATTGTTTCAATTGTTTATTAATTTTGATGAATTTTGCTTGTTTTTGTTGGAATTTCTAGTATTTGAATGAAGGAGGATGGGCTGATTCTGGTCATGTTATTGCTTGCACTCAGCCTCGCCGTCTCGCTGTTCAGGTATTGTGAGCTTAATTTTTTCTAATATTTTGTACTTCTGTTTTGTGTTTCTTTGTATATCACTGTAATAAGTTCTCCGGTTGATGATTTCGATGGCGAATATCGATAATGTGGTGTTATTGATGATTTCTTGTTGATTATACTTTGGTTTGTTAGGTTGAATTATTAAGAAAATGTATGTGTTCAACTAGTTCAATTTAACTAGGTTACATTTTTTTATGTAGGCTATTATGAATTTCGAAGAAGTGATATTAGTTTTTTTGCCGGCTTAATAAACCTAATTCAGAATTTAATTTAGGTTAATATATCAATTTGGAGGGAGAGAAAAGAGAGCCTGGTTTGTAAGTTGAGAGTCCGGCTGCATTTTTGTGTTTTCCTGTAATTTAGAAGTATAGTTGTCTATGCTTACAGTAGCTATTGAGCTTCGTAATTTAATCTTCGGTTTGGTCTTTGGACTATGTACTGTGATTTTAATACATGTGCTTCAAAGGTGCCTTTTGCTTTCAATTTGCACTGCAGTGTTTATGATGGTGAGCTCTAGCATATGTAAGGCATTTTTTCATACTTTGGTAGTTTGGTGTCATTTTTTTCTTCTTCTTTTTTGATAACACCATAGTTTGGTGTCTTGATAAGCTATATCTTTTTATTTTTTCGGAAATAAAATATAGATGTGCATGCTTCAAAGTTGTGTTTGAAAGTTGGGGAACTCTGGCATGAATATATTAGGAATGTTAGCTAGACCAATAGTTTCTTGGTTTTCTGGAATTTCTGCTAATTGTATCATATACACTGAACTCTTTACTGCTCGTCCATTTTGACGAATGAAATTTCAGTCAGTTGCTTCAAGGGTTGCTGAAGAAATGGGTGTTAAACTTGGCGAGGAGGTTGGATATGTAATCAGATTTGAAGATGTAACAACTCCGGTAAAGACCCTTTCACTGGCCAATTACTATTCCTTACTCTCATTATGTGCATAATTTTCAACTTGCATTATATGCAATTTGTGCAGTGTGTTTTACTTTTATGTTACCGATGTGGAATGATATTGTGTTGCCAGCACAGGGTGTTACCAGAATTAAGTTTCTTACTGATGGAGTGTTGCTGAGGGAAATGATGGATGATCCTCTTCTGTCCAAGTACAGGTATTTAATTAAACAATTCTGTAACATATCCGAATTTATGCAATAAAAAAAGAAAATGGGAAAAGGAAAGGTGAACAGATTAACAAGCCTATTCACTGGAATTATGTATTAAACTCTTGACTGTTTTGTACATTACAGTCAGCTGTAGATTGTACCTGTAATGACATAGAATTCAGCCTAACTAATTAAGAGATTAAAATCTGACGAAGCATAATTTATAGGAGGAATCATTAAGGAGGTATATTTTTAGCTTTCAAAGTTTGGCATCAATTCCGGAGTAAAGATCAAAGCTTTATTTATATATATATATTCTCTTTAAGCCTTCCTAGATTGGCAAGCTTGAACCAATAGAGCAACACTATTGATAACACCCACTTGAATGGACCACTACACCAACCACCTCATAAACCCTGCCCCCACATTGTAAGCCACCATTAAGTTTTAATTAATTAATTAAGGAAAAATTGGCTACAACAACACCAACTATGACAAAGGTGCGTGTAGCAGCACAACCTTTTAAGGGTGCACTCAACATCACAAACTACTTTTGAGGGTGCACTCAACATCACAAACTATGCACTTGGGTGCACATAACAACATAAAAATGACATTGGCAAAATTTAGCTTTCTTCTGAAAGTGAAATCTTAAATATTTTTAATCTTTTTTGTTTAAAAATAGTTTTGATGAATTCCATTGTACTTAATTCTTCATTTTCCATCTCATGTAATTAAGTAACCATTAAATTGAATTATTTCAAAAGGTTTTCGCCATTATTTTCTATCGTTTGTTTCTTCAATTACTTTTTTACATCTCATGTGATGATTGACTTAGTTTCCTCTTCCATTATAATTAATTTTTTCCCTTTACATTAAAAAAAATAAAAAATAAAAAAATAAATAAATTTGACATATCCTAAAATCCAATTCTAAAATTATTTTTCGAATTAAGTATTTAAAATCATTTTGTGGGATTTGGTATTAGAAAGTTACCTATGTATGCTGAAGTCTTGTAGAATTAAGGTATTCAAATGATATTTTTTTTGGGTTTTTCTATATAGTAACCCTGTTTTTTTTTTTTCACTTTTTTACGTTGTGCCCTAACATATATCACTTTCTACACTGTAACCCCAATATATTTTTTGTTTCCATACGGTAACCTTGCTGTTATCCTGCCGTTAAAAAATTCCGTTAGTGGGGCCCACTCTCCATTATTAGTATTTTTTTATCGATTTGCAAGTTGAAAAATACTCCGTCAACGGTTTCGGGGGCTATTTTGGTTCTTAAGGAACCAAATTAAGCTCAGATTTGGAAAAAAAATAACGTAAATGCCTCGTTTTGCTTATTAAGAAATGTCTCGATTTACGTGTTCACATTTAAACACACAAAACGAGGCATTTACATTTATTTTTTGCCAAATCTGGGCTCAATTTGTGCCCTAAGGGCCAAAATAGCCCTTGAAACCTTTGACGGAATATTTTTCAACGCACAAATCGATAAAAAAATATTAATAATGGAGAGTGGGCCCCACTAACGGAATTTTTTAACGGCAAGGTTACCGTATGGAAACAAAAAATGTATTGGGGTTACAGTGTAGAAAGTGATATATGTTGGGGCACAACGTAGAAAAGTGTAAAAAATAGGGTTATTATATAGAAAAACCCTATTTTTTTTTGTTATTTATCAATTTAGTATTTAACTAAGTGGGAAGGGAAAGGAAACTAAATCAATCATGTGAGATCGATATTAGAAAAAGTAATTGGAGAAGCAAACAAAGAAAAATAATAGCACCATTTTTTTTTTTTTTTTGAAGGAATCCGCTTAGTATAATGGTGGAGGTTAAAAAATGCTTAAATGAAAAAAATAAATAAAAGGGAAGGCTAATTTAATCACGCATGATGGAAAATCATATAGCTTAAATAATGTTTATACAATTATATTAAAATAATTAATATTCCACTTTTTCATGAAACCTTAGTTCATTAGTGTCATTTATGCTAATATGTGCACCCAATTACATAGTTTGTGCTGTAGACCGCATCTTTTAAAATTTGTGCTGCTATACGCACCTTTATCATAGTTGGTGTTGTTGCGGCTAATTTTTCCATTAATTAATTACTGATGTGTGATAAACCTTCTCAGGTAGGCAAAATCAATTCCTTGGTTGTTGAATTTGACTGTGAAAGTTTTTGGTCTGAAATCTATGGGCAATGCTGACCACCACAGACTTGAATTTAACCCAACTTGTTGATGTTTGTGGTAGGCTCATCAGAATTTGAAATTAGATGGTGGTGGAAGGAAGCGTTGGAGTTGGTGGTGGAATGAAATAGGAGAAAGAGGAGAGAGAAAATGGGGAGAGAGAGGTGGAAGTCATGGAGTGTTTGATAAAGGGGATAGTTTTTTTTTGGGGAAGCCTGGGTAATAGTTACACCATTTTCAGGGGAATATCTTAAATATTTTTATTTCTAATCTAGGCAAACATAAATATCAGGTTTTTACAACCTTTTTATTCCCCCTGTACTGGCAATCTAGGCATGCCCTTAGGTTTATAAGTTGGAGCTGTTTGTTGTGTGCTTGTAAAACTACATAATATTTTGTATGGTACTTTTTTTATTCTTCATTGATGCTATATTGATCTATCTCATTGTACATTGGCTAAGTTAGGGTCTAAAAATGTGGTCTAGATTGAAAGCAAAGACCTGTATTGAAACAGTTTTTTTTAGAAACTATTTAACATTTGAACTTGCCAGTATAAACTCTTCCATAGTCTTTACTCATTACTCAGTAGAACTGAACTATCTTTATAAAAAATTGGTAGCTTATTGGCAGATGTACAACACTATTTAGTGTTCAGTGTTCGCAGACCTTTAGTTTCTTGTATGGACCTTGTATTTATTATTTTATTTGTTGTTTCTATTAATCAACTAATTTGTTCAAAAGTCAACTTTGATATCTTCTTTGGGTTTAGCTTCCTATATAAACATGAATAGCTTTCATGCCTTTTGTGAACTTTTGTTGAGAATAATTTTTGAATCTCTCCATTTTTTGCTTCTTGGCTTCTCAGTGTTGTCATGGTAGATGAAGCACATGAAAGGTCTATTTCAACTGATGTTGTACTTGGTCTCTTGAAAAAGGTATTTCTTAAATTGCAGTTTATATTGACATTGAAATGTTGCCATGCCGACATCGTTTTCTTGTGCTTAACATGTTGCCCTTGTAACCAAATTTCAGATTCAAAGGCGTAGGCCTGAACTGCGTTTGATTATATCATCTGCTACTATTGAAGCAAAATCCATAGCTTCTTTCTTCAGAGTTAGGTATTATATATCAAATTCTCTCTTTATTACCTTGTTTTTTCTGTTTCAAGGAGTTTAAGAAAGCCTATTGTATTCATTTCATCAATAGTATGCAATTTTGTGCTATTTTGATCGACAAAATAACAGGCGTTTTGTTATGGCATTTTGGCATGATTGTAACCAATGTATGTATAAAAAGGCTCAAGGTGCACTGACCCAATGAGGCTTTGGGGATCTTCAACAACATTTTTTGCTATTGAGTGTGCCATATTGAAATTGCCTTGCCTAGACAAAAAAAGTCCTTGGATGCACCTTTTACACACATCATAACAAACATTACTCCGACTTCATTTCACCCAGAATTTTTGTCTGATACTCATGATGTTGGTATGTCCCTTGGACAAAATTATGTACAAATTTATAAAATGATTTTATTTGTCACCAGGAGTCCTTGACACATAGGTTGTGGTGGTTCATGGCATGACTCATGGTTCTAGCTAGTATTCAAATTTTATCGTGTAGAAGGTTTTTTTTTAAAAAGAGACTAGATCCTACTAGTGAACTTATGCTAATAGTTGGGGAAAAGCATATGGGGGATGTGGTTTTTATTTTATTTAATTTATTTAATTTATTTTGTTTATTTTTTTTAAAATATATAAACAAAAACATCAACCTCAAATAATTAATCTAGGAGAATGAAATCAAGGAACTGTTCCTACTTAGATTTAGAAACTCATTTGAAGTTGTTGGATTAATCATTTAGAGGAGACAATTTTAGGATGTGTACCAATGGAACTAAAGGAAGATAAATACCACCTCCGTTCTTATTCAGTTGACACCTTTCTCTTTTCACGCTTGCCAACGCACTATTTTAACTATTAATATCTCTTATTCTCGACATTGTAAAATTCTATGTTAATCGGACACGGCTAATATTGCGAAGTGTCCGTGTCGACACGACACTTCACGAACACGGACATGGGACACGTGTTCGATGCTTCACTGTGCACTCGGAAGTGGCACTCGGACACTTCCTCGGACACTTCCATAAAGAGAGAAGAGGAAAAAAGAGTGGAAACATGAAAGAAAAATATATCTTATTCGAAAACCACCATTAATATAGAGAAGATGAAGAGAAGAAGATTGTCATTTATTAGGAGAATTTACCGAGGAAAAAATTACAATAAAAAAATAGGGGTGGACATAATGAAAAATGTAAACCTTTTGTAATATATAATTTGTTTATATAAATTTAAGTGACGTATTGACGTGTCCCTGTATCCGTGTCCAAATATCGGACCGAGTCCCCTTGTCCTAAAATTTTGGAACTTGCCAGATTGGACACTTGGACATGTGTCCGTGTCTGACACCCGTTCTTGAGTCCATGTAACATAGGTAAAATTATAAAAAGTGAATATTAATAAAATATACATTGAGTCTGTTTAAACAAAATCCCACTTGACTATGTATTATTGTAGCTACTAATCACAAAATAAGTCAAAGTGTAGTTTGTGAATTGTGTAAAAGTCAAATGGTGTCAACTAAAAAAACGAGGTAGTATAAAAGAACTCCAGTTTGGCCTTTTGCCTCAAAAGAAAAATAAAACAATGAGTTTTGAATTCTAATATTCATGAAAAGACAGAAATATAATAAAATAAGGGTCTATTCGACACGGCTTCTGGAAAACAAGTGAAGTTATGTTGAGTATAGAGTGGAATTCAAATTAGAAGATTTAGTACTGGTTTAGTCTATATGTTTATCTTATTCATTAACCATTGAAAATGGCATATTGTAGTTGAATAGAAGAATTTTACCATTATAATGCTGAGAATAACTAGTCTATTAGTCAAATTAATGCATACTTACCTTTATACCCATTGTTAATCTAGTAAGAAGCAGCGAGGAGGAGCTGGTGACGAACTTGGGCCAAAGACAGAACCTGCCATTATCTCAGTTGAGGTACATTAAGCTGGTTTGGGATCCTGTGCTGGTCAAATATTGCTACTTTATTTACTTAAGATATATTGAAGACATGCACAATAAACTGCAGGGAAGAGGCTTTACTGTTGAAATAAATTATGTTCAGGAGCCGGTTGCAGACTATCTTCGAGCTGCTGTATCAACTGTTATGTTGATACACAAACAGGTAGAAGTGAGCTTTATAGCATGTTAAGAAGCTATTAAATCTTTATGTCAGTGAGTGATATGTGTAGCAGTGTAGGTGCTAGCTGTCCAATAAAATGTCTTGCTTGAAATTTAGCTCAATCACTTGCTGTTGAAAGAAATTTCCTAGTGTTAGTTATCACATTATTACAGTAATTTTACACTAAATATCAACAATTTACAGGAAATATAAGATGTTATACAATTGTCTACTAAAAATAAAGATGGAGAAATATTGTTGTTTGCCATTAAACTACTCTTAACTTAATAATCCTTCTGTCCCCAAACTAAGTTTCCTTTTTTCTTGGGCACAAGTACCTATGAGGTTAGGAGAGAAATTGAATAGGGACCTTGTTGTTTAAAGGTGAATAAAAAAGAAGTTAGTGGGTATAGTTTAATATTTTGTATTATGCGGTGATTAAAGCTGCGTTTGCTTCATTTTATTTTGTCTGAACTTATATTATTTTATGTAGAACCTGTATTATTTTCTGGACTGAACTTTATCTAAACTTATTTGGTCTAAAGTTATTTAACAATTGTTTGATATAATCTGAAATTGTCTGAAATTAACGTGTTTTGTCTACAATTGTTTGAAATAAAATTATAAATTTTCCAAGTAAATTTTATTTGTGCTATTAGCTGACTAACTTTAATAATGAGAACCAGTTTTTACTTCAATAAAATGAACAAGTTGATCATTACTTTAATAGTTGTAACTTGACGTTGCAAGTATATATTTATGTAGTGAAGTAGGTGAAGTGGGATTCTGATAACATGGAACATACTTGTATAATTAATGTTCAAGTATCTAATTTGTGTAATGTATAGGTTTTTGATAACAATTGGAGGAGACTTAGTTGTGTGAGTGAAATTTTACTACTTTTGTGAAAATTGATCTGTTCCAACAAAATTTGTTTGTTTCCATTCTAAATTATTGATATGAAACCCCAATAATATTAACATTATTAAAAAGAATTTTTTGACTTTTACCATCTTGAAAATTCCTGTTTTTGGGTTTAACCAACTTATTTTTTTTTTTTTTTTTTTTTTTTTTTTTTTTTTTTTTTTGTAATTTACATCCTTAACAAACTTTTTATTGTTGACTTTGCCAAGACTTAACTGTCTTCCTCCATGATTTAGTTAAGTGGTGGTATAATCAAAATAGATTATATTTAAGGTGGTAGAATTCAAAAAATATTTAAGGTAGTTAAACCCAAAACTTGATTTTTTTTTTTGAAGGTGGTTAAGTAAAAACAATCCTTGTTAAAATGAAAATCATAATAAAAATGAAAGAAACTATAATTTTTTTTTTTTAAAAAATAAAAAACTATAATGTATAAATTAAAATAAAATTTCAACAAAATCTACTTCTATTCCTTTAAGTTCTTTCCCATTTCCCTTTTATACTTTTACCGATACACATTTTTAATCGTTAATATTCCTAATTAGGTGATTGTATAAATTATAAAAGTTCATTCTAAAAGTACTCATTGAGATGAATCAAACAAAATCCCTCGTCTATGTTTTTTCTTATATATTGGAATAATTTAGAAAGTTCTCTTTAGATGTGCTTTGTTTAGATTCCAAATGAGAAGAATTTTCAGCATTCAAATGAAAATTATAATAATATTTCCTCCGTTCCACTAAGTTCTTCCCATTTATTGTAGATACACATACACATACACATATCAAGGAAAACAAATAAAGTAATGTAGATTGGGCATTTGACTCTTTTATATTGTGAATGGACTTCCTCTCAACTTGCTTGATTTTCCAGTAACTTTTATGTCTCACTTTCTTTATGCTTTTACTTCTGTTTTATAGCAAACAGTGGGTGATATCCTTGTATTCCTTACGGGTCAAGATGATATTGATGCAGCTGTTCAGCTGCTTAACGAAGAAGCTCAGAGTTCTGATAGAAGCTCAGGAGGTAAGTCATTAGCATACTTCCTAAGTTCTTAGGAAGTTAGTTTTCCATATTTCATATACTAGTTTGTTGGAAAGAGTGTGTTTAACTTGGCATCATAGATCATACAATTAGTTCTGCTTATTCTTGGAAGATGCTAGATTGCTGGTATTTTCAATTCTCTGAGCATTACTCCCTCCATTCCAAGTGACTTTTGAGGTTCTGCATATATATTATGAAGTTGGTAATTATTACATAGGTATTTAACACTGAGACTTAGTATTGAATTTTAAGTTCACAAGTAGTATTGCATAATTGCATTGATATGTTAAGGGACATGAAATAAGAAGTATTAGGTAAGTCGACAGAAGATATGGAAAGGAGGGAAGTATTGTTGTTATTGAACATGGTGATTTAAATGTCTGCTGATCTGTGGCAGGCAATCTCGCAGAGAGTGGCTGTTGCTGGTATTTTTTTTTATATTTTCTGGAAAATGCACCAGAATAAAAATAATTAACAATGTTGAAAGTTTGAAGCTAGATGAGTAATGGATGAGCAATTTCACTATATTGCCACTGAGTACATGCTATGTCTCTCCAAGTAGTACCCAGAAAATGTTTGTGAAAATAGTATTTTATAAAACTGAAGTGGATTCTGATGCAAGGACCCTGTTATGTTAGGCACAACAATTCATCAAGTTGCCATAGCTGGAAACTGGAGCACAGGAATTTCTTTTAGACATAGTAGCATCACTCTATATATTTTTGGAGAGGGTGGTGTGATTGTTAGAGTTAATGCAAGTCATTGAGTGGACGAGTGGTATAATGTGGTGAGCCCAAAGCTCTACCTGAATGATGTTGGAATAATCTAAAAGGGACATGATTGCGGTTTTGAATGGGAGACCATGGTTTACAAAAGTTCAAAAACCGCCAATTCTCAAGTTTTGGATCCCAGGCATGATTTGTGAATCAACCTTGGACATTTAGATCTTTAAATTTGGTCCTTTCTTAGTTGAGTCTTATACTCCCTCCATCCCCAATTAAACTTTTGTCCCTAAATGGAAGTCTCAACTCAAATTTATCTAGTTTTTTATTCACATTTCTATAATCAAACTCCACTAACTTCTTTTTCTATTTGCTCTTAATCAACCAAATCCCACAATCTCATTTTTATATTTACCTTTTATCAACGAAATGTTATCGGTCTGTATTCTGTAGAGGAGTTATCCCACTAGTAAAAATCTGAAAGAATTATGTCCAAAAAAAAAAAACTTTAATTGAGAAATCAGAGGGCTCTGCTGTGCTTACTCACAGTGTATATGCTTGCTTTAACCTGACCCCTTTGCTCCCTGGCTGGAGCCTCATAGAAGTGCTGGGCTAATGGTATGGTATGAGGTGGGACTATAGGAGTGGGATTTAGGTTGACGTTGTAGCTCAAAGGACAGAGTACCTTTCCTATTGTAGCTTGTAAATTAAGATGTATGCATGTTTTGAGCTAGACATTATGCTAGAATTACTGTGTTATTAAGGGCTTATATAACTTTGTTGGTGTTGGTTTCTGTTTCAAAGTATTTTTACTTCTACTTTGTTTGTGGAAACTGGAAATGTAAAATCACTTATTTGATTTTTATATTGTGCTTTGCCAGAATTGCTCGCTCTGCCTTTATACTCCGGACTTTCACGTGCTGAGCAGGTAAGAACTGTAGGCTCTGGTTTATGACGCCTAATCCTGTCTCAATGCTGTGTTTATTCTGACAAGCATCTGATTTTATGGGCTACTTTGTAGGACTTGATCTTTTCTCCTACTCCTAGAGGGAAAAGGAAGGTTATAATATCGACAAATATTGCAGAGACATCATTGACTTTGGAGGTAATAGTGTGTATCAATGTAATATGAGAAATTGCTGCTGCTTTGTAATGCCTTAACTTAAACATGTATCTTGCAGGGCATAGTCTATGTTGTTGATAGTGGCTTCTCAAAACAGCGTTTTTATGATCCGGTACTTTTCAATATTATCTTCTTCCTAAGTTTCATTCTTTATCATGGAGTGCTTTGTTTGCCAAGCATGAGAATTGAGTGCTGTGTTTGCCAAGTATGAGAATTGAGTGATTTCGTACTTTCTTTGATGAATATTTCTCATGTGATGTTTGGGTATCTGTTATCGGCTATCTTATTAAAGGAAGTTAAAGTTGGTTATATTTTTTTTTTAAGCTTAGTTTTCTTTTGCTATTTTGTCTAAGATGGTTTTATGTGATATAGCTGTCAGATATTGAGAATTTGGTGGTGGCACCCATATCAAAGGCTTCTGCAAGACAAAGGACAGGTAGGGCTGGAAGAGTGAGACCAGGGAAATGTTACAGGTACTTTCTCTTCTTTATTTATACTAATTCCTTTCTCCTGACTTTATCAGCATGTAAAATCTCTATCATACGTGATTTAGTTATTTACCATGACTACTGCTTTCTATCGGGAGATTCAGCTCCCCTGCATAATTGTTTGCTTAAGGACTTCACATTTTGGTTTCCTTGAGTTACTTCATTTCTTTTTCCTTGCTCGCCATGGGGAATGCATTCTGAATAAGAAGCATTTAACCTTTCTAAGTTTTTATTGTTAAAACCACATAGTATGATTTTCTGCGTGGTGCTTATTTCTTGAAAAATTTACAGTCATCTTCAGAAAAAGCTAACTACTTCCAATTTCGAGAATATTGTAATGAAAGTAAGTAAAAGTGATGGACTAATCTTAGGAATTTGGGAAAAATTTAATTGCAATAGATTTGTTTTCAAACCCACTTCTAAATGCTGAATTCTTGTATACCAATCAAGTAACCAGCCGACTTTCCCAGCAAAATCTACCTCTCTCTTAAGGCCAAATCCTTTGCATCAACCACATTGTCCAAAGCCAAAACTGGCTCTTAATTCAATCCACATGTGTTTGATAATTCATATAAATAAAAAGATGCAGTCTTAGAGAGGAATCAAGAGTTGATTTTTCTGGAGCATGTTTGGGACTAAATTGGTCCAATTCAGTGACTGAATCTTTCTGCAGTATAGGGATAGATAATACTCCCTCTGTTTTCTTTTGATGTATGCGTGTTGTATTTCAAGAAGAGTCGAGTGGATGTAAGAAAAAAGGTGGATATAGTAATAAGGTGGGTTAGTGTAATAAAAAGGAAAATAAGGTAAAAGAAGGTAAGGGTTAGATAGTTAAATTTGTTTGATAGAATAGCATAGAAGTCGCTACGCCAAATAAAATACCTTAAAATGGAAAGTAAGTACATCATAAAAAGGTAGATGTATGTTAGGAGCTCATTTAACAAAGGGGAATATTTGTTTTCATGGTAGAAAGAAAAAGTAGTGATTTATCATTTGAATGTCATTGCAAATTGTTAAATTGCTCTACAGTTTAGCTACTTACTACTGAAGGCATCAAACACTAGATTTTTTTGATAACCATTCACTAAGTTATGCTGTTGCTTAACAGAGATCAAGAATCATACAATAGTATTATCCCTTTTCTCTTCTTCAACTCAGGTTATATACCGAGGAATATTATGTTAATGAAATGCCAGCTGAGGGGATTCCTGAGATGCAGAGATCAAACCTTGTCTCCTGCGTTATACAGGCAAGTCATCGTCTTTAAATGTTTTGCAAAAAGCTTTTTGCTGCTAAGATGCTGGAATTTTTTGAGGTCCTATTTTTGCTTGTCTTGCTAGATAAAATGAATTGAAATTTAGTTCTATACTAAGGTTTTTACAAATGCTAGAAGCTTAGAACTCTTAAATGATGTACTTTCCTGCCCAAATTACAAATCATCGCTTGACGGTTGTGGTTCTTAAAAAAAGATGACCATAATATCTCGAAATTTATTAGTTAGTTATGTAATAAAATTCCCATGACAGTCCCCCTGCATCAGATCATAATCCACAATGTTGGAGTTGGGAGATCAAATGCTCTCAATCAATCCATTTCAATAATGGATGATAGGCGTGTCGCGTACCTGACAAAAATAACCTTACAAGACCACTACTATGTAGATAGGCTAGTAAGGATCGAATCCTAAGAGACTATGGTTTGACTAGTTAAACAGACTCAAATAAATGCTAAGCAAGTAATCAAAATAATAATGAGAATTAATCAAAAGAACTCATTAAAACGATTAAATCTAAGTAATATAATTTATCAAATGTTGAAAACATCTTTGATCAAGCATCACCACGAATACAATTAACACAACAGTTGTTCTACCCTTAACATATAATTCAATTGATTAACGAGGAAAATTAATCCCTAAATAGTACCAATGATCTCTCCCTAGTTATCGATGGCTTCCCTAAATACAATCAAGCTTACTTTTCTGGAATCATGTAAATAAAAGACTATGAGCACATTACTCTAACTTCCTAATCATCCATTCAACTACGCCCGTGATGAACTTCTAACCCTTAATTGATTTATTCAAACCCGTCAAAACCCAACTCGCATTACGATTAAAACAATGGATTAATAACAATACTAATTATCCCTAATCTAGTATTGGTATGAGCACAATCAATTAAGCATATCAATTGCAATTATCATTAGAGAATTTAAAGAATTAAATCATGCATTAATCGTATTTGGGTTCCTCATATCTTGGAATAAGGAAACCACTCACACATAGTAAGGAAATCAAGAATGATATTCAATAAAGATAACATAATTAACAATAATAAAATAAGAGAATTGGGAGAAGAAATCAATACTTGGAATCAATTATGAAATCTTCAAAGCAAAACCCTAGAAAATAATGTAGAAGAACGTAATACCAAACTCTAAAATAATGTATGTAAGTGCTAAATAGAAGACTATCTAAAACCTATTTATATGCTAGGAAAATAGTAGTCGACTTTACTTACGATTAGGACTCCTAAAATCCCAAAAATTGAGCTAATTCGTCACTTAATCAAGAGGCCGCAACTAGGCTGCAGTTAAAAGTCGCGAGCCGCGGGTAGGCCGTAGAGAAGTGGTACATGCCGCAACTAGGTTGTGGAGTAGGCTGCCTTTGAAGGCATTTCTTTCTCTTTGTCACATAATAACATCTCTGATTCATGGCTCAACTCGAGCAACAACTTATTCCTACAAAACAAAGAAAAAGAACCCAAGGAGAGCAATATTGAAATATATAATAAAATGTCACTTAAATAGTTAAATGTAGGAGGAAAGCACGACAAATATCATATAAATATGGCATGTAAAACGAGTATATTATCGTGTTATCAATGGACATGAAAGTAAGTTAGGTCTAGAAGGTGTGGAGAACGGTTCAAGGCATAGCTTCGGATGGATGGCAAAGCCTTGACTTCAAATGATTTTGAGATGATTCAAGTTGGAGGTGATAGCTTGTTTAAAGTGCTTTCCAACGACTCATCATAAGCTCGATTTGGACACAAAAGTAATGGCCATTTTATGAAGAGCTATCTGCCTGAAAGTTTGCCTTAACATGTGGGATGTTCGCCCGAACTCAAAGGGAAAAGTGACTCTAAGTCACTGGGAAAAGGTTCGCCCGAGCCTGCTTGGTGGTTGGCTCGAACCAAGCAAGGTTCGCCCTAACCAAGCCTGCTTGTTTTCTACGACCTTGCGATTTAAATGGTGTGGCTTATTTATGATCGTAGGAATGTTTATTATGCCTTGCACTATATATACTCATATTTAGTCATTGTATTAGAGTAATAATGAGAATGAAATGAAGTGTAAGATGTAGAGCGAGAGGGCCTCAGATATAAAAGCCCTAACACTTGGGGTTTGAGTGTGGGAAGGGGTGTATTTGGGGTGGGAGCTTTTTTGGTGCTTTGAAAGCTTGTAAACTACATTGTTCTTAATCAAAGGTTACTCTATAGTGCAGTGGTTTCACGTTTCCACGGTAAATGCTTTTTTGTCTTCGTTGCTTGTTTTCATTCTTTTATTATTATTGATTGTCATTAATCTCATTCAAGCTAGCACAAACGTTGATTCTTTCAAGTAAAATTGGAAGGAGAGCAGTGTTATGTGACTTATGTCCCTCCTTCGCTGCCTAGTGCCTTCTTATCTTGACCAAGTAGTACGTCTATTCATCTAATGGTGGTTTGAACCTTAAAGTGAGGGATTCCAATTAAATGACCAGTAAATATCCTAATGTGTCCCTTTCTGACGTTTGGCAAGTTTTTCTTTTTTGTTTTCCCTTGATGGTGGATTCCTGGTCCCCATATTCTGTTCTTCTGTATCAATTATTTTTCTGCTGAATGAATTGTGTTTTTTTTTTATATATTAATAACATTGCTGTTTTCTTAACTGCTATGCTATATACATTATTATTTTTATCCTTTTTAACGCACAATATATTTACTAGCATTTATGTTTTCAATATATGCGCAGTTGAAGGCTCTAGGAATTGATAATATCTTGAATTTTGGGTGGCCCGCATCACCATCACCAGAAGCTATGATTAGAGCTCTTGAAGTATTGTACTCTCTAGGTGTGCTTGATGATGATGCCAAGCTCACTTCACCTACTGGATTCCAAGTTGCTGAAATTCCACTGGTACTTTCATGCCAAGGCTTTATAATTTTTGTGACAGTTCCTCTCAATAGGATATCAGTTCCTGTCAAAGCATAATAGTTCGCAACTTTTATATGCTTCAAAGTGACTATTGAACTTGATTTCACACTCATAAAATCGGACCTACAAGACAGTTTTCTGGAAATTCAGTGATTGGTAAATGAAGTATTATTAGAGAATTGTGCATTCATTGACGATGTATCATATTCATTGTTGGCCTGATGGAAAATCTTTTTTGTTCTGTATTATGTTGAATATAACGTACAAATGAAAGTGATTATAGAAGTAGTAGATTTGGATAATTGACACAACCCGGACAACCGGATATTGCCCTGTTTGGAAATATAGAGAAGAATAAAAGGATTAATTTGATGAGAAAATATGTGGCTGGTGTTTTCAAGATGATGGTTCTTGCTACTTGTGTACCTGTTAGTTATCACAAGAATAAGGTTGCTTTGCCCAGGGGGGAGCCATGTTGGACATTGGTTGTTGTAACTCTAGCTAATATTGTTGCGTGTAACTTTGGCTATAGCTTTTTCCCATTATTCGCCTTACATAAAGTGTAGTTTGGTATGTGGATACATGTTGCTAATGGTAGGTGAATGAATGCTGAAGTCTGCAATATTTCTATATTGGTTAGGTTTTCCAAAGCCTTGCAGACCTACTGTAATTAGGACTTTAGTATTTAAAAATGTTGGGGGAGTCAAATTACAGACTAGCTATAAGATCATATTACATATAATAAAGCATACATCATTATACTGTAGTCATGTGCAATGGATGATCCATGATAAGAAAAAGGCTATCGAAGGCTCATTTTCCTAATGGGTCAGGAGCCTATGTGAATATGGTTCTCAGCGTGCTGAATTTCTGTTAACAATAAGATTCACAATTACATTTAGTTATTTTCGTGTAGTAAGTCTTGTGGACTTGTGGTTGGACTTTGTGATATCGCGTTCTTGTGTTCTTTTCCTCATTCCTCCAAGAACTCTCGGTAAGGGTTGGAATAAAAAAGACATGTTGGATAACATCACCCCTTTTTATTATTTAAATATTTCATTATCATGGCTTAATGATAAAAGTGACTTCTTTTTTGTTATTTTAATATTTCACATTTTGGTTTGGCATGTAGATTAACAGTATTTGTTAAATGCAAATAGTAAATTGGTTGTGATAGAGAGAGAATAATTAAGAGAAAGTGCTAATATGGAGACAATATAAAATGTGATGGAGAGAGATAACGGACCAGTACAGTTGGAAACGGCATAAAGTATTTCTATTTAGGACATCTCAGAAAGGAATATTTGAAACCTTGTTAGGTATGAAGAGTGTATGCTTCAACACTAACATTATAGTGTGTTTTTACATTATCTGCAGCTCATGATGACAAGTCATAATTGTTTATGCTTGTCTTTTGATGTTGAATGACCATGAATTAGATAAGCTCTTCTATATTTTATCAGCTTATCTCTTTGTGCATGATTTTCTGAATCCTATATTACAGGATCCCATGCTTTCAAAGGCTTTGCTTGTGTCTAATGAACTAGGGTGTTCAGAGGAAATGCTTACTATTGCATCAGTTCTTTCTGTACAGGTTTAATCCTTCCCCCTTCTTAACCTTAGATTTCTTTTGTTATGCAATTTATATGTTATTTATAATGAAGTAGTTGTATGCTTATTATTTTTTCTCTCTGGATTGGCTGTTGCTGCACATGGAATTATAGCCACAGAATAAATCCTTGAAGGGAACAAATAAGTATGTTTGACTAGGCAGTGTCTGTTTGCCAGTTTAAAGTCTATCTTTTGAAAATATTTTCCTTCTGAGAATGATGGGGATAGGAGTCATAGGACAATGCGTGGGAGGATTAGGGTATAGGGATACATTTGTGTATCATTAATTGGTCTGTAATCTGAAGCCTATGTTACAAGGTTCTTGCAAGTTGCAATGCTTGGATTTGGAAGGTCAGATGTACAGATATTACCTTACACTTGCTACAGAGTGATATTTCCATGCCATCACATGTTTTCTAATGTGCTTTGAAAAAAAAAAAATTGACTGAATTTCTGGGAGGTTTAGGGTATAAGGATAGGATAATTCTCCTTTTAGATTACCTTACACTTGCTACAGAGTGATATTTTCCTTTTGAGAATGATGGGGTGGGAAGGTATAAGGATTACATTTATGTAATATAAATTGGTCTGTAATCTGAAGCCTACTTTACAAGGTTCTTGCAAGTTGCAGTACTTGGATTTGGAAGGTCAGAATGTCAGATGTACTATTATAGATTACCTTACACTTGCTAAAGAGTGATCTTTCCATGTCATTACATGTTTTCAAAGGTGCTTTGAAAAGGATATTGACCGAATTTGATTTTTAAAGCAATGGTAAGATTAAGAACACTTTATAGGAATGTGCTTTTGACGGCATTTAGTCTTAAAAGATCACATAACACACTCTTTCTTATGGTTTTATGACAACTTTAAGAACAAGTCAGTGTATGATGTTGAAAGTATAGCATCAATTTTTATTTTATTTTGTGAAAGATTTACTGAAATTTAAGAGTATGTGCAGTCAATCTGGATCTCTGTAAGGGGAGCACAGAAGCAGCTAGATGAAGCCAAGCTCCGATTTGCTGCTGCTGAGGTGTGTTATGAATTCCTATGGCTAATTTACTCTGGTCCATAGCTTAGTATATATGAATTACAATTTTTAGAATACTTCACTCTGATCCATAACTTAGGCCTTAGTAAAGTGATAGATACTTTCTTTCCACAATCCCAATCCCAGCCCTTGCCAAGTTGCCATTTAACAAAATAGGTTAGATAAGTTCTGTTATACCTGTATATGCAGACACCCTTCATTCTCCTTGTATCCCCCCTTGTGTAATTGTCATTATTTTATAATGTTTCTTTTTCTTGGCAATGACGTTTGGGGTGAATAATACATCGGTCATACTGATTTGGGATAGAATTGGTCTTCGGTCTCTATTCTTATAAGGTGGATTAAGAAAATAAATTTTACCCACCATTTCAAAGAGTCCTATAAGATCGAGTGCCTAGTATTCAAATTTTCTTGAACAAGTGTCTCACTTTTTGGACGGGTATAGTTTCTTCTGTATAATCATACCCACCATCAAACATCCCATTTGACAACATTCAAGGATTGAGATGTAGAAAATTCCAGTTGCCATGTTAATTTTTAATATGATGCTTATGCAGGGTGACCATGTGACTTTCCTAAATGTGTACAAAGGATTTCTGCAGTCCGGCAAATCATCAAAATGGTGTCACAAGAACTTTATTAACTATCATGCTATGGTTAGTACATTGTATTTATCTTTGTTGCCTTTTACGATCCTTGTCATTTTCATAGCAGAGCTATAGATTATATAATTGATTATGTTAATACTACTTCAGTTTGTATGAAAATCATATCCTGGTTCTGGCACCTCTTGGTTTCTGTTGAACATATAGTTCAAAGATAATGATTAATGAACATAGAGTTCATAAAATCCAAAAATTATTCACCTATAGTTCAGCAATTCTGAACAAATGAAAGATATTTGTAATCTTTGAACTTTATGTTCATTCGGGGCAACAAATTGCATCATGATAACTTGGGTCCACAATATAATAAATGTCATGTCATCCTTGTTCTCTCTCGTTTTCCCTTGCCTTTTTATTGTGCATTATTGTTATGTTTGTTTTTTCCTGTTAGTTATCATTGGTGAACAATTATTTTAAAAGCTCTCCTTAAGTTTAGATTTTTGTTAAGAAAGTAATTTTATTATTTTAAAAAATTGAGTTGATTGTCTTATCTCTGGGAAATTTTGTCTTTGTCAGAAAAAAGTTCTGGAGACCAGAGAACAACTCAAAAGAACGGCACAGCGGCTGGGTATAGTCTTGAAATCTTGTGACAGAGATATACAGGTAGTTATAATATTTTCTTTTCCTGTAAAACAAAACCTCTTGATGGTTTGTAGTTTTCTGGCATCTGGAGTATTTAGTTTTAGTTAATTCGATTTACTTGTGATGGTAATCATCACACGTTAGTGCTTCACTTCAAACTTGCAAATTCAGATGCAGTAAAGCACTATAATTATTTATCATGGAGCATGGACTTCATCAAGACCTTTTATTGGCTACATAAAATACACTAGATTACTAAAAACAAGCACCGCAACTTATACCCATGAATAATATGCATAAACTGATCATGTTCCTAATATCAAGAATCACTAATTTACTAACTTTGAGCATTATTTTCAACAATGTGTACAATTGTACATCAAGTAGAGCTATTTACCAACTAACATTTCCTTAGCTCACAAGCCTATGCCTATTTACATAATTTCTGTTTCTTTTTTAGTAAACATTAAATTTGGCCTATGCCTATTTACATAATTTCATATAGGAAAGCAGCTCACAAGCCTAGCTTCCCTCATTTGTATTTGCATCTACTTCCTTTATCTTTCTTTTGATTGCCAAGGCATACATCAAGTGGGGTCATTTTAAGCCATACCCAGTTACTCACTATGAAGTAGAGCAGTTATGTAGGGTTCGTTCGGTAAGATTGGAGGAAATGGGCTATAATGAAATTGAATGAGAGAAGGGTAGGGTAATGATATTAACCTTTTTAATGGATCTTTTGGTATTACTGTGAATTGGATTTGAATTAAATGAGAGAATGGGAGGGAGATTGAGGAGGGTAACAGATGGATGAGATCTACTACCCTCAAGTTAGGGGGACTATTAGTATACCCATCAAACTAAACCTATAGCTTAAATACTTTTGTGATTCCATATTTAGCCATGAAAACCGACATACCACTCATGCATTAAGCCTCACTTCTCTTTAACTTGTTCGCATCTGCCACTTTATCACTCTTTTCAACTGCCAAACCCAACATCAAGTTGGGGCATACTATTCCAATAATCCAATGAAGTTTGGTTTCAGTAAATAGATCCTTGGTTGCTTTGTTATGAGCAAACTGCTTTTTGAAGAAAATATGATTGGTTGACACTAACAAAATTTATCCAGCTGAGTAACCGATATAAGATTATGCTGAAACAGCAAGACTTTGTGAAATCTAAGTGTCGGGCAAAAATCCTGAGCTGCTAATATCTTTCTTTACCTTTTTTTTATGGTTTCTGTAATACATTCACGTGCATGTGCAAACTATCTCCATGTGGCTGTCACCTTTTTATCTCTGTTGGATTTCCTGCTTAATTTGATCTTAATGCCATCTGCTCGTCACATGAACATACATCCTTTATGATTATCCTCATTTCCTCATATTTGCAACCTCTGACTTGGAACACCTTTGCTTTTTCTAAGCTATATGTGGCTTTTAGTAATTCACACTATACTGTAGCTTGAAATCTGATCATAACTCTTGATATTACTTGCAGGTTGTAAGAAAGGCAATAACTGCTGGATTTTTTGCTAATGCTTGTCATTTGCAAGTGAGTGTAACTATATTTTTTGAAAAGCCTTTGGAAAAGTTTTTGCTGTTGCTCTGTAATTTCTGATAATTATTTTTAATTTAAGTTTTTCACTTCTTATTTTAATATTATTATCAGACATACAGTCATGAAGGAAAATACAAGACTGTCCGTACTTCTCAGGATGTTTATATCCACCCTTCATCTGTTTTGTTCAGGTTGGTGAAAGACTTGTTCTTCCCCCATTAGTGCTTTCATGCTTATCGTTAAGCTATACTACTATGTTGAAGTAATGTGATATTACAACTTCTTTGCTTTAAGACTGTGAAACTTTGTGATGCTGTGAATTTTGACCTTAGCCTGTCTTGGAATTTGTAAAAATAAAATCCCCATCCCAAAATATATTCCATGATTAATCTGAAATGAAGATCCTCTTTCACTTTCAAGGCAATAATGTTCTACTGTAAATATTTTCATATATTCCCCTTCTATGACTGAATTTTAAAAAAGGTTGGTGATTTATCAAGGGGAAATGTGTATGGATAAGCTCACTACTCTCACATTGCAATCGTTGCCACTCCTAATTACCCATGTCAAAGTTGGAGAGAATTTATCCAGTACAGAGGGAGATGAAAACTTGAAGGCACATAGAAATTTTTGGTATCCGCTTACGTGTTAGGCATTTGGTAGCCAAAGCTCATCTCATGTAATCTTTGTGGACTACTGGGTGCTTAACTTATATGACATTACCGGGGCTCTCTATATCCCCTGTCTTATGTTCCAAAATTAAGAAAAGAGAAGGGGAGAGAGGGGGGGGGGGGGGGGTGGTTCTCTTTGTCTGTTCATATTCTTGGAAATCCCTATTGCTGTAGATTCCTGATATCAGGACCAAGTTCATTTTCTTTGATCTTTTCTATTTGCCTGGAAACTGTGCTTCCTGACATCTATCCTCTGTCCAACTTATTTTACTACGTAATTTTCTAATATGCTGCTCAAACTCAAGGCTGATAACTGTCGATTACAAAAGTTCTTGGTGCTATAACTAGTGATTATCTTAAGTTTGCTATGCATGTTTGTGTGTTTATACAAACTGTTTTATTAAGTTGCTAAAACGTTATACTGTCTGCTTGCAGAGTCAACCCAAAGTGGGTTGTATACTATTCTCTCATCTCGACTGATCGTCGATACATGCGCAATGTTGTGACAATAGATCCTACATGGCTTGTAGAGGTTGCCCCGCATTATTATCAGTATCAAGGGCCTGGTTCCAGTGCTACTTTGCCTAGGTAACTGCATACTAGAGAACTTATACCTGATTGAAGGTCATGATTAGCATGCATAGGGACTGTATATTCTTTTTGTACGTATCAAATGCAAAAGTGTTGTTAGATTAGTTTGAAGCCTCTGTAAAATTTCTCCAACAATGATTCAGAGATAACTTACTTATCAGTTGAGGAATGGTAATTCAAGATAAAAGTCAAGTACAATGATGATTTTTTTCTTATTTTGTTTCAGCAGAAAATAGTGATGTTGTCATGAACAAGAAGAGTTTAGATCTGCATTTAATGTCCTCTTCTTTTCCCTCGATTTGTTCTTATTGATTTCCGGTATGATGCTATCTGACAGTCAACTAAGTTTTAGTACATGCTCAGTGGTTGAGACCAGGGTCATCCCAACTATTATGGAAGCCCTGTGCAGTTGAGATAAAATTAGGCCCTTTTAATGAAATGTATAATACTCTTTGTGTTTTTTTAATAAGTGCTCCTATATATATATATATATATATAGGTTAGATCCTGTGCCATGCATGGTGATCTATAGTTATAAACTAAATTAGCCCCGTAAGATGCACGACATGATAAATTTCTTTGAAATAAATATATTTTATATATGTACCTCATAAGAGAAAAAAAAAATATAGAAACATAAACATTAATTACAATGATGTTTAGATCTAAATAATTTTAAAGATAGTAAAAATTTAACCAAATTATACAATACAGAGTACTCTTAAACCGAGAGTAATTATATTTGGAATCAAGATAGTTTTTTTTTTATAAATCCATAATAATGTAAAAAAAAAAAATAAGAATAACATATTATAATACTACCTCCGGTTCGATTTACTCGCAACAAATTCCTTTTTGGGGTGGTTTAATTTACTCGCAACAAATTATTTTTTTCCTTATTTGGTAAATTTTTCCCTACAAAATGTCTTTTTTGCCCTTACTTTTTTTTTAAAACAAACTTATTAACACTCCTAATTTTATAAATTATGTTAATGTTTTAATTATCTAAACTAATCACTCCCACCAAATTTACCCCTTTTCCCTTTAAATTGATTCCTCTCCCAACCACCTTCATTGAATCTGCATTCAATACCCATTGAAGATGGTTGGGAGCATTCAATTCTGGGTTTCTTTCCCAAAAATTGAACACCCCCCAAACCCTAACACTATAAATCTCACTCTCTCTCTTTCTCTCTCCTCTACGCCTCTTCACTGTTCGTCAAATTTCTCCGTTCTTCCCTCTCTTTCTCTCTCTCTGTTCGTATTCTCCGTCTTTGTTCTCTCTGAAAATGGATTCCCCTCTACCTAACCAACCAGATCCCAAAAATTATGAGTCCCTTTCTTATGGATCTACTAGATCACCAACACCACCGCCTCCTAGAGTGACTAGGTTTGTTCCTCGACGGGGTTCTACGGCTATGAAGCCTGTGAGGCGTGCATCTATGATTGCGCGTCGAAGGATTCGTGGTGCTAAGCTAGTTGAATACATATCTAGCAACTCTGAAGAGGAGACCAACAAGGCTTCTGGCTCCAAAAAACGCGCTCCGCCCACTCCCACTCCAGATCCGACGCCAGATCCGCTGCCGGAAACCACCCAAACTGGTGGATCTGCTGGTGTCGTGGGTGTTATACCTGCTACTTCTCCCCCTGATGCGAACTCGGAGACTAGGTCTTCGGTGGTGCCCCCTGAGCTGACGGCTGGTGAGGTGCTTCAGCCACCTGAGGACCATCCTATGATGGGTGGTTCTACTTCTGGGCCAAGCGCAGGGAGGAAGCGCGTGCGTTCTGGACTTCCTGATGGTATGGATCCTGATGATGTTCTAGAGGCTTACCTTCAGATCTACTACCCTATGTAGTCCCTTCCCCCAATTTAATTGGGCATGGTAACTTCTATAAACCCTAGTCTTTGGAATTTAGTTGTGTTTTATGTTAAATGATGATCTTGATTACTAATTGGCTTGATATTGTACTCTTGTTGGCAGTTGTGTTGATATTGTTGTGAAAATTTGGGGATCTTGTTGTTGGTTGTGATTATTGAGTTGTGTGTGCTTTACTATTTGTTAAAATATACCCATGAGTCCCTGTGCACAACAGCTAGTTTATGTATGGACTGTTTTGGATGTTATTTCTGTGGTTGTAGCCTTTAGTCTCTGGATTGTGCTTGTGTTGTGTCCTTTGTGGTGTATGGAGTATGTTGTTTGGAATGATGTGAGTTACTGATGCCTTGAGTCCCCTAAAATTTGATGCCTTGAATCCCCTAAACATTGATGCTATGAGTCCCCCCCTCCATTGTTGCATCATTAATGTATGTGTGTATCCAAATGATGAAGGGACTCATCAGATAGCTATTTGAGGCACATGGATGCTCTGGGAACCTCTGTTTGAGGGTTCTATTGAGGTACCATAACTCATTGATGCCTTGAAAGAAAACTTACCCATTCTGATGGATTGTAGAGAGTTTATAAAGTTTTTTTTTACCATTCATGTTCACAAAAAATGCCATGTTTACATCACAGTTGCTTACATTGAATGCATGACTGCCTAAGACTAATACCTTTGACAATTTGACAAAAGACACCTAACCAATAAGAAACAAAATAAAAATGACATGTTTATCTATGAATTGGTTATGTGTGGCAGTCAATGCCTTAATCTAAACAAAATAAAGAGTTCCTTTCCCCTTCAATCTGCATCAACTTCCATATGCCCTTCATCTTCACCATTAACTGGGATAGTGATTGAGTCTAGATATGTGACAACCTCTCCAATTAGTCCCTTGTCCACCTCTAACAGATCTGGTAGTATACCTTGCCTGTCGAGACTTCTTTTTTTCATGTGTGGTGTGATGTAATTGTTGCCCCCTCTCCTTTTAGGTACTTCAACCATGCATGATTGCAGTGTTAGCCAACTGTACTTGTTCAATTCTGGTTCAAATTGTTGAAATGCAATGTCCACTTCCTTAATAAGGTCATCCACATTCTGTGGAAATGATTGATACTGAATTGACTGAATCACATTGAAGAGTCCCAAGTCTAGAGCATTCATGTCTGGTGATTGAGCTGGCTGAAAAACAAACTGAATGTTAAATCCATATGCTTGTGTGGCTTCTTGAAATTCTGCATCTTGTGGTACTTGATGAGGTCTTGCATTGTCCCACTGTATTGTGATGTTCTTTGGTAGTTGTGAGGGCCACTGCTCATGTAAGGTTGGAATTACATGGTTCAGTAGCATGTCCCTGATTGCTTCTTTGTTTATGCTCTGGACTGCCTTAGCCTCTATTGTCCCCTTATCTCTGTTTTTGCTCTTTTTTTTGGTTGCCTCATACTTCACAAAAGGAAATAAACCATACTTTCCATCATGTAGTAGTTGTTTGTTTTCATCATACAAGGGTTTGCCAATCATGCCCATAAACAAGGCTTTGACCTTAAACCTTCTAGATTGTTGTGCTCTGTATGGATTTTCTTCTGTTGGAAGTAGATAGAAAGTTCTTGTTTCAGGGTTTATAAAAAACCATTTCTCATCTATGTGTATCCTTTGTTGCATGTCAACAAAGGTTGGGTCCCCTAGTGATGGAATTGGATGAATATGACTAAGTACCCACTTCAGCCTTGCTATTTTGTGATTGTCAGTCAGTGCAGGTTTGTTTGTGCTTGTGTGTGTTCTTAATCTACCCCTTTGCCTTAACCTGTGCAAAGCAGCCTTAGAGATATGCAAAGCTGCAGCATACCCTCTCTCAGTTTGTTTCTTATACAGAGGGACATAAGTTAGGAATTCATCAGTGTATTCTGTTAGTTTTCTACCAATAGTGCCTAATTTTTTTGTCCTCACATCTAATGCATGACCCTCAAGTATGTGTTGCTTAATTACCTGAAACCACCTTGTAGTTGTTGATCTATGCACGTGATGTTTCCTAGCCAATTTGGATATAAATCCTCTTGGCACTGAGTCCCCCTCCATGTTAAGCATGACCTCATCTACAAGTTGGCGTTTCTCTTGCACTGTCATTTCTCTGCTTTGTCTGCCATACACTTGACCTGCACCATTTTCTTCAGCATCATCATCACCTTCATACCCAGCTTCTTCTTGTGAGTTATTGATGTTGTCTTCAGATTGAGATATTTCATGATCTTCTTCTGAAAAGTGATGAAATGATTCCCATGTTTGCTCCTCATAATACAGTTGATGTTCATCAAAACAGAGTTCTTCAAAGAACTCTGCCATGAGTCCCTCTTCTTTTTTTTTTTCAGGTAGTATGAAGGTGATGAAATGGAGCCCAGAACTTTTTGGATGGTCTTGCACGGAGCCTGGAATGACAGAACTCAGTTGCTGCTTTTGCCTTAATTTTAGCACTGTTTATTTAGGCTAACTATGAACTAATTGTAGTGATGATGTAATTTGTAGGTTATATGTTTTGTAAACAATATTAATCACCCCTTGAACCCCCCCCCCCCCCAACCCCCTCTCTAATCTCCCCTACAACTTGGTAACAATATTTGAATTTTTGGGGATGTCCTCTATTTATGAGGGGGACATGCTTTAAAATGGTTGAAATGTGATGGTTTGGGGTTATTTGCCTTAAAATTTGAATTTCATGGGAAAAAAAGAGAGGGAACAGATTTTAAAAAATTTTGGAGAACTCCCGCCTCATTTTGGCAGAAAAATAAGGAGGGAAATACCCCTCCCACTTGCACAGTAGAGTCCCACGTGACTCAGCCAGCAAAAAAGGGAGGGAAATTCCCACTTATTCCCCTTTATTAATCTTAGGGGCCACATGTTTTCCCCTTACTTTATTCCCTTAATTATTACCTCAACACATGCTTTAAGTCCCCTAAAAATTTTGCCTAGGTTTGCGTAAATGTGTCCTTTGTTGCGAGTAAATCGAACCGGAGGTAGTAGTAGTCTTCAAAAAAAATATACTTCGTATATATAATTTAATAAGTTAAGGTAAAAATTAGAAGGTTTCAAAAAATAAGTAAAAATAAAATATAATATGATGTCAGTAATTAATTTAGGTGGGAAATTTTTTTACCACAACTTGATATCTGTACAATTTAAATAGGGGATGATATCAGCGGTTGTTACTTTAGTTATATATATGATTTAGGCTGCCTTTCTTTTGCCTTATGTGTGAGGCGATTGGTCACAATGAAAGAGACTGCTTGAATATTCCTGAAGAAGAGCAATCTGAGGGGTTGGAATGGAGTCTGCGATTACGTGCTACCCCTCGCAAAGAGAGGCAGAAGTTGATTGATGAATTCGAAGAAAAGGTAGTATTTCCATGAAACTTGATATGAGCAAAGCCTATGATAGGGTCAAATGGTATTTTTTGGAGAAATTATTGTTGAAAATGGGTTTTGCCGAAAGATGGGTGAAAATTGTGATGAGTTGTGTGTCGACTGTTTCCTACTTGTGTATCATTAACAGGAACGTTTGTGGTGTTGTTACCCCCTCCAAGGGTTTGAGGCAGGGGGATCCTTTATCCCCGTATTTGTTTATCATGGTTGCAGATGCTTTTTCAGCTCTGATCAGGAAAGCGTCGGATGATAGACTCATTCATGGGGCCGGAGCTAGTAGAAAAGGGCCAAAAATTACTCATCTTTTCTTCGCAGATGACAGTTTACTTTTTGCAAGAGCCAACAGAGAGGAATGCGTAAAAATTGTTGATATTCTCAACATATGCGAAGCTGTTTCCGGATAGAAAATTAACTATGACAAATCGGAGGTTTCTTTTAGCAAAGGCGTAAGTTTGTCGAAACAGGAAGAGTTGATTGATTTGTTAAAAATGTGTGTGGTCAGTGAGCATGATAAGTACCTTGGCATTCCTAATGTGCTTGGTAGATTGAAAAGATTGGTGTTTTTGGCTCTAAAGGACAGAATCTGGAAAAAGTTCCAGGGTTGGAAAAAGAAACTTCTCTTGAGAGTAGGGAAGGAAGTGCTTGTTAAATCCGTTATACAAGCAATTCCTACTTATTTGATGGGGGTGCTCAAGTTGCCAAATAGTGTGTTGGATGAAATTCACTCCTTGGCTGCAAAATTATGGTGGGGTAATGTTGATGCTAGGAGGAAAGTACATTGGTTGAGCTGGGATCATATGTGCAAACCTAAGTGTTTAGGAGGCTTAGGCTTCCGTGATTTAGGTGTTTTTAACGAAGCTCTTCTTGGAAAACAAGCTTGGAGATTAATCACTTTTCCGAATTCTCTATTTGGGCAGGTGATGAAAACCAAATATTTTCCTCATACGGATTTCCTAGAGGCCTCGCTGGGGCTTATGTAATCCCCCGTATTTTTTAAATATTTTATAAATGAAAATTTATTTTATTTATAATATTTATTTGTTATTTTTCATAATTTAATTTCAAAAGTTTCAAATTATTGATCTGGGTCGAAATTTATTTGAACAAATTATTTTATGCACCTTTATTCTACAATTTATGTCCAATCACACAAGCCTAACCCATTTGTAATCGACCCATTATTTTTATGAGGCCAAATCTTCTTATTTACCCTAAAATTCTCTCCTATAAATACCCCATGAATCCCCAAAAAATTTCCCACACAAAAAGGTTAGTCTTATTTTCTTTCTCCTTAGTTTTATTAATTTGTGTAATTATAATTATTGATTTATTGGTTTTGATTTTATTGTTTGAAATTAATTTAATTAGTATCAAATTGTATTTTGATAATTAAACTTTATAATTTCAGATTTTATAAGTGTCATAATTTTCAGATTTTGTAAATTTTATAACCTAAGGTTTTTAATTATTGAAAATCATGATTTTAGGGTTTTTATGAACAATTGATTTAGGGCTTTTATAGTAATGATGTTTTGAAATTTTGGTGATTATAAGTACTAATTAGTTTAACTTAATTCCAGATTGTTTTGAACACTTAAATTCGTGTTTTAATTTTAAAATTTCCGTTCATTAATATTAATCCCGTTTTAATCCCGATCAGGTTCTGAACTCATCCGATTTTGACAAAAAAGTAGTGTTTTCCAAGTGGAAACAACGTTTTAAGAAAGACTCACTACTTTTGGTACTGAGCACCACCCTCTCGTGGCCAAATTCAGTCTCTAAATATGATTATCGGGCAGTTTTTGATTTTAACGAAGTTTTTTTATACTTAAAATATTATCCTTGAGTTTGATTAATAAAATTAATTATGTTTAAAGTTAATTAAGCATAAATATATATTTTTTTATTGAAGTTTTAAGTGCTGGAAATAGTTACTAAGTACTACTTTTGATGTTTTATAAAGAGGGTTTAATCACCCATTAAAAAGGGAGATTATTAGAGGTTTTTAAATAATTTTAATATTTTTATTAAACTTTAAACTTGTTGTAATTTCATTTATAAGAGTGTATTTTAAGGTTTTTATGAAGAAAATTTAAAGAACTATATATAAGCCTTTAATTTTAACTAAAGGGAGGGTTTTAAAGTGTTGTTTGATTTGGATTTTGAAGGTTTTAAAGTAAGTTAGTATTGCTGTAAATTTGATTGATCGGGTATTGATTGAGATGTTATTGTTTGGTTTAGGAGAGGAGTTTATTGAAGGTGATTTATAGTTTTTAAGTGGCCAACCGAATTGTTTACACGAGGTACGTACATGTCTACTTCGTTGTAAGTAGTATCATGTTTAGGTACCAAAAAAAAGAACTTAGTTTCATGATTAGAGAACACTTGGATGAAAATTGTTTGGTTATACATTTAATTAATTCATGTGCTTATGTTTATGAAACATGTTTTGGTGAATTGATTTATGTTTGTATGGAATTATGGATGCAAACATGTTGAATTATATTGGATTAATTGTTTGTATGGAATGTTGATACAAGCATAATTTTATTGGATTGGTTTGATAACCACATTTGGATTATTAAAGGATTGGAATTGAATGGTTTAATTAGAATGAATTTATTAATTATTCCACAAAGTTATTATTATTTTATTTATTACTTGAGCATGACTTGTAAGTATGTTGAGTAAAAGTGGATTAAGCCGAAATGGCTAGGTGGGTTGACTATGTTCAACAATTTGGATAATTTGGAAGTTTAATGAATTTAAAGGTCAAATTGTGATGTGATCACCATTGTCCTAAATAAGATTAAAAATAAATTGATGTATGATTTTTATGTATGGTGTATCTGATTGAGTCGACTATTAATTAAAATTGTAATCACGTAAAGTGAAACATGGATGAGCAATAAAACTCTAGAAAGCGTGCACTTCTAGAGTATTGACAATCATGGGTTGGGGTACACGGTGGTAGCCCGTGGCTTTCCGAGGCTTGTTTGATCAACATGACCTCTTTTCTTTTGGTATTTACATTTTATTTTACAATGAAAGTTAGATGGGATCCTAGACTAACTTTGTGAGAATGGAGTCGCGCCCATTCTTGCATCGCGCTAAACTTTTATTTTAAATGGTCATTTGGGACCAAAATGATTTGGTGGATTGGACAACCTCGTCTATTGCTTACTCCAAATTAAATTAATTAAATTAAATATAAAGAGTCAAGTGTTTGGAATTGATTAGCAAGTATGTTGAGTCGATTGAATTGTTTAAGTGTGGAGTCTTGATTAATGAATTTGTGTTGTATGTTTATTTACTTTAATTAGTTAAGCATGCTAGGTTTTGTGCGTTGTAGCTTGTATGTACTCAGCTTTGCTGATTGCGTGCTTTTGTGTGTTTTCTTTTGGTCATGGCCTTCGCCTTTCAATGACCCTGTGATGATCCAATTCTTACACTTGTATTATTGGGGAGCAGTATTGCACTGGTTAGCTTGATGATGTGAAGTTCGGGGATTTGACATCGCATTGTCAAGGGATTGGTGTGATTGAGAGTATTCGTTCTTTGTGTTAAACTTATTTATGTTTTACTATTCTAATTATGTTTTGGGATTTTGATTATTGGTTTTTAAATAAGGGTCTTTATGGTTCCAATTTGTAAGCTTTGACTTATTGGTTTTCTAAATTATATTATTTTAAGATTTAAGTTGGATTTCCGCTGCAATACTTTGATAAAGCCTTAACGTTTTAACACGTGGTGGTAACATGACAATGGTTCTCCTCTATTTTTATTTAAAGTAAGTGGTTTGGAAAAGGGAGAATTATTGGCGTGTTACAGCTTAATTGCAGCTACTCATGGAAAAGCATATGGGGATCGAAATCCTTAGTGAAAGAAGGCATGATATGGCGTGTAGGATATGGCTCAACCATCCGAATCTTTGATGATCCATGGCTATCTGATGAAGGGGGAAGATTTGTGCACACGGCAAGAATTGATGGTCTTGACCGGGTTTGCGATTTAATTAACGAACACACGAAAAACTGGAACTATGAGTTACTGGCAGCAAACTTTGATGCGCGTGATGTAAGGTGCATCCTTGCTATACCGTTGTGTTCTCGAGCTTCAAAAGATGTTCTTACCTGGGCCTTCTCTAAGGATGGTCATTACATGGTGAAACGGCCTACATGCTTGGTAAGTCGTGTGATTTGGATGCCTATCATCAAGTTAGGTTGATGTATGGAACATTGGGACAATAACGAAAGTGAAGCTTTTTCTATGGAGAGCTTGCACTAATACTCTTGCTACCCAAGCTGTTTCGGGTGTTTTTTGGATTTCCTGGGATACTGGTCACGCTCTTCAGGCAACGAGACGGTCCAACCTGCAAAACAACGAATATTCCGATCAACGGAATATTCGCCTCCGACGATCAAGTCAGTGATCAGAACGGAAAAGGCTAGAGAGAGAAAGTAGAGAGAAGGTGGAGCTATTTAATGCTCTGTTGTTTGTAAATGTCTTAAATCCCCCTCCCATCATAAATGATTGGGGTATTATAGGGGTGGGACTCGTGCCCCTCTCTACGGTTTATACCCTAGATTTGCGTGACGTGATTGGCTGCGCAATCAGCGAATGCCACGTGTCACTCTGGGGGCGCCGTTTTGCGGCTTTCATTGATATCTCTCGGGATTTGGGCCCTGACGTTATTAGGGTTTTCTGGCGTGCTGATTATTGAGGGAACACATGCCCTTAACACATGGCATCTTCTCATGACGACACGTGTCACCCTCTGACTGGGCCACGTGTCGCGACGAGACTGGCCTGAGGCCTTAAGGGCTCTGAATTGCGTGGCATCTTCTCGTGGTGACACATGTCACCCTATAACTGGGCCACGTGTCACTATGGGATTGGTCCACGTATATGAGGTATTTTTACCCTCAACACAAGCCATGTTGTTTTACAGACATATGGTGGATACGAATGCGTGCCCCTGGTGCCCCAATACCCCCGTATCTTCAACCATGCTATGTTCGATTGTTCTGCAGTTAGTGACCTTTGGCGTGAATATGGTTGCTCTGATTTGCGAGAGGTTGATCCTATGGCTGACTTTAAAGATGTTCTTGGAGGAAAAAGGATGTAAAAAGATGCCTTGTTGGGGTGGCTCTAATGTGGTATATATGGAGCAGGAGGAATGACAAGGTGTTTAATGATAGAGAGGTGCCTCACCTTGTGGTGCGAGAGAGTGAAGAGAATGGTGGAGGATTGTGATAAGTATGCTACTCTCATTTATGGTACTGCCAGCAAACGCCAAAGAAAAGAGCCTGAAGCATTGGCGTCCTCCCCCACCTGATTTTGTGAAATTAAATTGTGATGCCTCGTTGAAGGATGAGGGTTGGATTGGTTTGGGCGCGGTGGTGTAGACACCCATTTGTGTCTCCCCAAAACCAAACCCGGTGATGAGTACCTTTCGTGTCGAATCATAATCGAATGAAGCGAAAGTGTGGAAAGTCTAGTGTTGCGGACAATTTTAATTTCTTTTCTCTTCTCTCTGTTTTTGAAAACTTATTTTAAGAAAACATCCAATCCAGTTTTTTTGGTCCATGATATGGGTCCAATAGTAGTGTAGTTGGATAGGGCTTGACAAGAGCTTTCCAACGATATATTATAAGCCCAATTCCGATGAATATTGAGGAAGTTATGGCCAATTTACCAAACTGGGCCCGGTTTGAGCCTTATATGCGGCCCGATGATCTAGGGGAGGGCCTAATATGATTTATCATTCCTAATGCAATTAGGAATGGTTTTAGTCTTCTAGAATCTTCTAGAAGGTTCTTTTCATTCCTAATTCAATTAGCATTGATAAATTGACTTTTGTTGACTTTTCAGAGTTTTAATTAAAATCAAATAGCATTTTCGAGGAAAAGATACGATTTTATCCTACAGTACGGCAAACTTATCTAATTTTTGAAAACGCGTTAAAAACAGGCATGGCGTCTGACTCCAGGCATTGGCGCCTGGCGCCAGCCATTGGCGTCTGGTGCTAGCCATTGGCGCTTGGCGCCAATAAGCTGGTGCTGGCGCCAGCTCTGTTTTGCGTGCGCCAGCTCTGTTTTTTGTGCGTCAGACTCTGTTTTGTTTATTTTATCTTTTTGGCTGATTTTCTCTATAAATAACGTATTAAAAATCCCGTTTTCATTCACCAATTCTCATCAATTATCATCAACAATCAGTTTTAATTAGCATTTGCCTACAATCAGTTTTCATTCATTAATCCTCTCATTCTCTTAATCATTAATCTTTCTTTCTTTCTCTAAACCTAGCTTTTACATACAAAATTCCGCATTCACAAGATCTAGAAACACCTAGACATATTCGAAGTTGCCTTCGCCCTAGACGTGAAAGGTTTAATTTCTTAGGGTTTGGTCTCAAATCTCTATTTCAATTATTTAATTTAATTGTTTTGTTTATTATTTTCCTTGAAGTTACTACATGTGTATTTTGTTATTAGAAAGAGGTATGAGGCATCAAAGTAAGTACTTTAATGGTTTTAATTGATATTATGATGTAGAAATCATGTTTACATTGTTATTATGATCTTCCTAGTATCATGCATGTTTAGGGAAAAGGTTATAATATCAAATATGCTTATTATGATTCCTGCGATGCTTCCTATTTTCTTCCTAATACTTAGTATCATGTTAGGGTTAAAGATTTGATTTTTATTGCTTAGTGACATGCTAGGGTTTGTTATTAATCTTGTTAGTATCATGCCTAGGATCTTGCTATTATTATGCTTTAACATGAATATTATTATTATTATTTTGATGATGATTATTTTATCTATGATGATATTATGATTATTATTTATGATTATTATTATGAATATTATAATGATGGTTATGATTTATTATTATTATTATTATTATTATTATTATTATTATTATTATTATTATTATTATTATTATTATGTTGCTTAATATTTTATTTTTATTGCTTGATCACACCTTTTATGCATGTTTAAAGGGAATTGGTACTTGTAATCATGCTTGATGAGACAATTAATAATCTTGTTAGAGTTAATTTGATTATAATTTCGAGTGATCGCCAATAATAGTTTGTTTGTGCGTTATATTCAACCAACATAGATAAACAGGTTTAGGGTTAATCCTATTGATTGCATGTTAGTCAAAAAACGCACATGAATACGATCAAAATAAAGTAGAGGCCTATTATTAGGGCAGGTTCAATCTCTTTTAGGTTGGATTTGTACCTTCATCCCCGAACCCTTATTTGGTTCTAGACCTTATGGAGTTGACGATCTCTTGGATCATAAAGGGGTGTAACCTTCACCCTGTGAACGGTTTAAAACTTCCTAAAACTTGTTGGCGACTCTTTTGCTTTATCTTCTTCCCTTTTGGACGCCACCGTACTTTAGTGTATGACCACAATGGGGTTCAAGCTAGGGGTTAAAGCTTGAAATTATTCCCTACAGGTGGTAAGAAATGCTGATGGTGAGGTACTGAGGTCTTGTTTGCGGGAGTGCGTCGCACTAGAGGTTACTGGGCACCGGAAATTGCTGAGTGTAAGGCCATTCACTTTGGGACCAAGCTCGCACGCTGCTATGGTTACAGAAGATTGTGGTGGAATTGGATAATGACGTGGTCGTCTCTAGTCTCTCAAAAGCGACTACTTTTCTCGCTGATCTTGATTCCATTCTAGATTATGTCTTTTCGTTTAGTGTTGATTTTGATTTTATTTCTTGGTCTCATGTGAAGAGGGATGAGAATAGCGTAGCTCATCACCTTGCTAGTTTAGTACCTTTCAGAACGAAACAAGTGTGGGAATTTTGTCCTTCTGTTATTGCTCCGTATGTATCTATGGACACATTGTCCATTAATATTTAATAATAAAGGTACTAACTGGGTTTCAAAAAAAAAGGAATTAAATCGAAAATAAAATAATGAATGAAATTAAGAGAGAGAAAATAAAGAAGAGAGAACTGGGAAAGGTAAACTTTTGGCTAGAACGGACTCACGGTGAGTCCACCATCTCCATTCTTTAGTTCTCCTTCTTTCCCTTTCTCTCTCCTCAATTATCCACTCCTTTGCTCTCCTCCCCTTTCTCTGGCGACCTCTCACTCGATATTCACACTCTTCCCAATTCCCATCACCTCCATCATCGACCCTATTACGAAAGCCCCGAAATTTTCGAAATTGACCCCATTAAAGGTGCTCTTCTCATTGTTACTCTCTTCGATCAATCGAAGTTTCTGTTTTTTTTTTCAAACTTTGCCTAACTCTTCAGCTCTTCAATGGCTGACTCCTCCTTAGATGTTTAAGAAATTGTTGCCTTCTGTTGTTACGTTCGTTGTGTTCCTATTGCTGATGAAAATAATGAAATCATTGCTTGTTCTTATTGTTATCAATTCCACTAGCTCCATTAGTCCATTCTCCATAGCTTTTGTTTGGAACTTGATCTGAAATTCCAATTTTGATTCAATTATACTTGGTAGTTGTCTCCTCGTATTGAAGAGCTCCTTCAACTTTACAACCTTATACATTCCCTACACCAATAATAGAGTAATTAGATTTAAAAATTCAACTATACAATTACGGAAGTCATATATAACAAAGTCGAACGAATTACGGAAGTTTGATAAGAAGTATTATCCACTAATTTACATCATCAATCAGTAAATCAAATGGAATTGAAGTTACTAGAGGTCGTATATAAAAATAATTTTATTTCTCCTCTAAATTCAACTAATTACAACTCAAGTACATAATACATATTGATACCATTCGATTTGTTCAAATGAAAGAAAAAAAAAATGAACATGATACTTGAACAAAAATGCATGATTCAATGAAGATCTTTATGATTCATCTATATCCGTATAACCTGTTCATTCAAAGAAAAAACAAAAAAAATATAAATGTAAAAGATGTACTTGTACTGAAAACGAATCAAAAAGTCATCTTCTTATAACAAATTAAAAGGAAACAAAAGAACTAAAAAACTGTAGATCTTCAACCTCATTTCTAAATTAATAAAAAAAAACACAAAAAAAAAAAAAAAAAAAACTTTGATTACAAGCATAAAAACTCACATCAATCAAATGAACGATCAACGAAAATGAAAATCAAAACGAAAAAAAATAGATGTAGGAATAAAAGAAGAACAGATTGTACATGGTAATTAACAATGAACAAGTTGTACATAAGAGTATATTGGGGTATATTTCAACATTAATTGAACAAAATTATTACAAAATAAGGTAAGATTTCGACAATTATTAACCAAATTCAATTAATCATAGCAAAATTATGGTAGATTTCTCAAAATTATAATCAAATTGAATTGTACGGATACTCAATTACTCACAAGAAGTAAGCCTTCACCGAGTTTGTTTCGCTGGAGTGTTGATCTATTTTATCGATCTTTCGGCTTGCTTTTATAGAAGTTCGAACCATTGGAGAAGGTGTTAGAGAGGATATATTGTTGATTGGAGTTAAGGTTAGAGCCATGGAAAACCACTAAGCCGGATCTGAAACGGAGAGAGAAAGAGGAAATTTTTGAATACAGGTAAGCCATAAACAGCTGTTTGATAATGAACTTGAAGGAAAAAGCGACTGTGGGGAAATAGGGTTTGTCACTTGCCAGTGCTTTATTTATGTTTTTAAAAAAAAAAAATATTTTTAATCAAAGAGAACGCTTATCTAAACAAGGCGTTCTATGTTTTTAAGTCACAATTTTATTTTATTTTTTAAAAAAACAAATCAAATAGAGCGGTTTATTAGATAAGCGTTCTATATAATTCAACATACACAACTGTATCTAACATAGGCGTTCCATATAATCCTAGAGATCGCTTATTTAGGATAACCGTTCAATATTGTGCGTTTCATATTCCAGTTTTTGTAGTAGTGCCTTTACTCCCTTCATTCCCCCAAATCCCTCTAACTCCATTCCTCACCCCCCTAGACTTTCCCATTCCCATTCCCTAGCCACCATCTCACCACACTCACCACCGGAAAGTCAGCCGCCACACCGCCGCTCTACCTCCGATGGGTCGCCGCTCGACCTTTGACGGGTCGCCGCATCTCCTCCGGCGGGTCGCTGCACCTTCACCACCCTTTCCCTCCCCCGTGAAACTTCCCCAACCCCTCGCAAAACCCTTAAAAATCCCCTTCCCTCCCCGGAAAAGCGTCAGACAACCCTCCCACCACCCTCGAAACCCTAGCGCCTAGGGTTTTGAGGGTGGCGGGAGGGTTGTCTGACGCTTTTCCGGGGAGGGAAGGGGATTTTAAGGGTTTTGCGAGGGGCTCGACGGGAAGTCGGGAACAACTTTGCGGGGGAAGAGGAGGGTCAGCGAAGGGCGAGGAGGTTGCGGCGAACGGCAGCGAGTGGTGGGGGGAGTGCGGCGAACGGCGTGGTGGCTGAAATAGGTGGGATTTGAAAAAAATGGGTGGTTGTGTGGTGGTAGTGTGGTGGTTTGGTGGTTGTGTGGATTGGTGGCTTATTTCCATTATTTTCAAAGCAAACAACATGGCAAATGTAAGGGTTTTTCATTCCATTCTCCTTCTTTCTCTTTGTTCATTCCATTCCGATTACCCTCTACGAACCAAACGACCCCTAATATTATTGTCAGATATTAGAATATTATTGTCATGTATTTGGTGTTGCGGGCCTCACGATCAAGTTTAGTTAGCCCGCGCCTTTTTGTTGGACTTTTGTTATTGAACCCAGTCTCACACAAAACCTTTTGAATCAGAAATTAGGAAAGTGTGAGAGGAGGGAGAATATGTGAGACTTTGTAATCTACTACCTCCGTTACATATTATTTGCAACGATTAGACATTTTTTCTCTCTACATTATGTCAAATCGTTGCAAATAATATGTAACAGAGGTAGTAAATCTAATTGGTTGGAGTACACATTTTTACCTGCTGCATGTAAAAATTTGCCACAATCCGAAATAAGACAACACGAGGGTACCCGTTAGACACTTACCAAATTAACGAGATCACCCAAGTCATGTGACTCTTTACCCACCTTTTACATCCTAGAGTTCATATCACGTTTTAGGTTCTAGACTAGATCTCGCTCCTAATCGTCACCAATCTCTCCGACGTCTAAACTCGCCTAATTTCGCACCCTTTTTTTTCCATCTCCTCCTTCAACAATTCCCCATTTCTCCGGCAACGTAATTCTGGATCTGCTCTCTCTCAATCTCACTCTCTAGATCTCAATCTCCGCCAATTCTCTCTCCTCCAATTTTCCAACTTGTAAGTTCTCTTTCAATTTTTTCTAATTTTTTATCAGTATTTCTTCAATTTGTTCCGAATTTTTCTTCATAATGTGTTCGCATTGTGAAATTTATGCCTGTAATTGATTGGAACTGTAGTGTTTGTTTACATTTTGAAATGTATGTTTGTATTTTAGCTGATTTATTTGTGGAAATTTTGAATTACCTAATTTTGTTTACGCTAAATCAATTAATTGAAGCTCAAACCTAAGCAATTACTCCATGTAGTGAAGAAACTTATTTGATTGATTAATTATTATGTTTATAGTGTAATTTGAACTAGTAATGTGACAACGAAATCATGGCGAATGTAGTATATGTTGTTAACTTGTTATTGTAAAGTTTACTTTGATTAGCGCTGAGTTACAAACATTTACTCAAGTAGTTGCTTGTTGTCAGTAGCCTTGATTTAGGAGGATTGTGACTTGTGAGAGACCGATAATCCCGAGTTCTTGAAGAACGTGTGATCGCGATAGATAGAGTGCATTAGCAAAATTATCCTCAATTTCCGCTCTTCAATCACGAAAGCAAAGATGATGTCCGGCAATTACACTACCATTGACAATCAAAACGTTTCCGGAGGAGGATCTGTCTCCGGATCTGTTCCAGTTAAATTTCCTTTTCCTTTCCAATGATCAATTTCCTTAATTTTGACATAATATTACGAATTCCTTCAATGTCACATTTTCTTCTTAGATTGTTGTTGATTTTGTATCATCTTTGTTATTTTCAGGCAGTTGGAGATTCTGGTCATGTGTCGGTTAAATTTGCTGGTAAAGCTCAACACCTGCATTCCGTTTTGCAAATTTTAATCTGATGTCCGAATTATTACCAAATTGTTAACTGTCTTTTATTATTCTTATGGTTGATGTCAGATTCAAATCTTCAGACATTTCCTCCATCAGAAGCGACAGGAAAGATCGCCAGTGGTTCTCGTCCTCCTCGAGATGCTGATGGTGTGTTGAACTCTTTTTATGTATATTTCTATGATCTTTAGGTTTATTTTTCAGCCGCATCATTTGGAATTCAAGTTTTGAAATTTATGTGAATTTCTTTTGAATATTTTTTCTCCTAAGGAAGAATTATACATCTTTAAATTGCACAAATAAAAGTCCCAACAAATTGAGTAACCCAAGGACGAAACCTTCTGCCTCTTGGCTCCAATTACAGTACTAACCTTGTAACCTTATTCATTAATATGAGATTGGGTATGTGCTCACATTTTGCTACCTAGTTTGCTATTAGGCTAAAAAAAATTCCACTTTCATGTTATTCACTCACCTTTTTTGATTTGCAATCCTTAGGGGAATTTCATTGAGATTAATAAATACTTTTGAGCTACCAATATTCTATCTTTTTGTTGACTGCATTGTGTTGTAATTACATCTTCCTTTGGTTGAGTGCATAGTGAGGTTTTGTATTTGTGCTTCTATAGTTTTATGGGAGATTTCAACTACTGTCAACTCAGTTTTTACGACTCTTAAAGCATTTCCAAGGATATAAGATTTGAATTTCATGGTAATTTACAAGGTTAAAACTTTTGAAGGTTTATACTGTATCATCTCATGAATCCTTCTCTTTAATATTTAAATCCCTATGCGCTGCTTTAAACCCTCATAGAGCTTTGACTTCACGGGGCAAAGGTTTATAAACTTTATATTACTCAACGATTCTATCTATAATATATATCAAAGCAGATTTTATTTCATGTTACATTCATGAAACAGCTTGTTCACGATGCTTGTACTCCATTTTCAGCCATCGATATAATACTCTTCTTCGCTTTTCACTTGGTCTTTCTTTTATGTTTTATTAATTTTAATTGAAAGGTTTTCAATGAACTACTCCCTTTGTTCTCTTTTGTTCTACTCACTCTATTCTAGTCGGTTTGTTTTTGCTGTCACTCTCTCTAACCTTCGCTGATTTCTATGAACTTGCACAACACATTTGATAATATTATTACACCAATATGAGAGTTTTAATTCGTATGGATGGGGCTCATACATAGACCCCCCCCCCCCCTTTTATTTTCTCATCCCTATGCTACTGGATAACTGGAATATGGTTCTGGGGTGACTTAACTGCTTCATTCCCCTTTTTTTCCCTTCTTTTAAGGTAGAACACATTTTTCACAAAGTATGAGAAGCAACTTGGCGCTTAGGGTCCTTGGTGGGAAAGGATGTGTACAAGATGGATGATTTTTCAGAAGGGCTTATAAAATATTTGCCTATTTATTTCATTAGTACTTACTAAAAACAATTAAAAGAATACCCTGAATATAAAAGTTATAAGACCAACTTCTTGATTGCCATATCATTAGTAAACTTTTGTATAATTGTATGTAATGACTGTTAAATCATGGGCTAAAGCTAAGAGTACAAATATCTAAACAATTAAGAGCACTAAACATTATGGGCTTTTGGCAAAATTCCTAACTTATTTCGCGTTTACAAGTATATTTGGTGCTCATATCCTTGAATAACTATATCTCATGATAATAATCTTATTCAAGTTCTTAAAAGTTGAATGTAGGAATAGTATTTTAGCATTGTAAATTCAGGCAAAAACTAATATTGTCCTAAGTACACCTATACTACATTACTGGATTTACTATACAGACCAGAAATAAGTGCCAAGTAGCGCTGTAAATTTAGGCAAAAATTGTTAATTTCCAAAGTAAACTTATACTACATTACTAGATTTTCATCCGGACCAGAAATAAGTGTCAAGGTCTAACTCACCATGACCTTTAATTTTTGGATATAGGAACTCTCTTATATTTGGGCACAAAGTATTATAAATATATGGAATATACTTTACTATGAATTTTCAAATGGTATAAGTTTTTGTCATATACATTCATAGAGAGTGAAGGTTAAAATGGTGGGAAATGAAGGGAGAGAAAGAATATCTGAAACAGGTTAATAAACAAATAAGGAAACTGAAAGAAAAACAATGGTCACTTGCGACTTTGACGAGTTGATCTCTAAGTTTTCAGCATGCTATCTTGTCCAATCCATCTTCCTGGTTATCAGGCCTATCCATGGAAACAAGGCAAGCAAGAGCCTTAACTTTTTGCTCCTCTTTTTCAATCTCAAATTTGCTGAATTAGCCTTTGATTTTTATTCATAGGTCTGAATTTTTTTTCCACATCAAACTTCTGCATTGCCTTTTCTTTCCTTGTGGAAATTGTATACCTTTTGAGCATTAGGTTTTATGCAGCCTTTTTTTTTTTTTTTTAATTTTACATAATTTACAAGATGTTAATAACTTTTTTGTGATAGATACTTGCTCTTACTAATTCTGTATCTTTCTTATCAGACACATTCTCCAAACCAGGTGGTGGATCTGATGCGCCTCAATCAAGTGGTTGGTTTGGGATATTCAGTATTGCTGCTTATCAACCATATTTTGATGTTGATACTTCTGATGTCTTGGAGAGGATTAAAGAATCACTATTTCCATGGAAAGGGAATTTCACAGAACTGATCTCCAACAGCCCAGATTTGTAAGTTTGATTATTGTTGTTATATGATAATGTCAATGACTCTGGGAAGTTGAATAATATTTATCTTTGTATTTGTGGCGGTTTTCAGTATCACTTGAATGAGTTGATAAAATGTTTTTCTTTTTTGGAAACTTGGAGCTTTGTAATACCCTTTAAAAAATTCCGGCCTCCAGTCAAATTCAAGAAAAATAATCCAGTGGTGTGAATGTGATGTATAATTGGTAGGACTTGGGAGCATAAAATTTTGTCTTGGAAGACTTGCGTGGAAGGGAAAATAATGGATAATTTTCATGCCTGGCACTATTTTACTTGCACTTTCTGTGCTGTGGCAAAAAATAGAAGCTCCTTGCATGGTGATTGACTGATTGGGTGTGATAGTTTCATAGTTCTCATTAAGATGCCTGAGTATGGAATATGAAGTGAGCTGAGGAATTGCTTTTGGAAGTATTTGCATGTTGTTACTACTATGTCCAGGATTCAGTTGTCGCATTGGTATATTCAGGCTTTAATTTTCCTATGCATGCGTTAAATCAAGTTGAAGTTTATAGTGTGAATTATGGGCCTATATTTTCTAGCTTCATCTCCAATTCTCCATGCTGAATCTTGTTAGTATTTTATTTTTGAGAATATGGCACATGAATTATTTCAGTCCCTCTCATGCAGCTGGTGACAGTTTCTATTTGCTGTATGTTGGGCAGGTATGGTCCATTTTGGATATGCACTACTCTAATATTCATCGCCGCATCCATCGGTACATTTGTTACTTATGTGTCAAACAAGCTACACAGCAAAGACTGGAATTATGACATAAGCCTTGTGACATGGTCTGCCGGTTTGTTCTATGGTTATGTGATGGTCGTGCCTCTGTGCCTTTATTTGGTGCTGAAGTATTTCTCTGCTCCATCTGGCTTCGTCCAATTGCTCTGCTTGTATGGTTATTCCTTGTTTGTGTTCGTCCCTGCATTGGTAAGCTCTCTTCTGATTTATTCTGAGAGAAAACTCGTACTATTAATTTGATACTGAACTTCATTATGAACAAATTGTCTTGATAAATACCGGCTTTGTCATGATAATGGAAGTGTGGAACATCTAGTTAGCAACTTTCTTCTCAATAATCAGTGGCTATATTGTTTATATATTTACTGCAAATTACAATTTAATTGAATTGACGGATCCATTTTGTATTTGTCTTGTGCTATGGGGTCAAAAGAATCTACTCCGTATTATACAATAGTGGTCCCTTTGTCCAGAAATTTTCTTAGTTTATGAACTCATTTGTTTAATTAATCTTATTACTGATGGTATCCTTTGGATGCAGTGTTTGTCTGTTGTGCCCCTGGATATATTCAGATGGGTGATTGCAGGTGTGGCCGGGTTTATGTCTGCAAGCTTTGTTGCCCTTAATCTCAAGGCACACATCGAGTCAGCTGGTGAAAGGTGGTTCCTCATCGTTGTTGCAATATTTTTGTTGCAAGTAGCTTTGGCAATTGCTCTTAAGATTTACCTATTCACGGTATCAGTTTAACTATGGAGAAACAGCTACTAGATAGATGTTTCAATGAATATGATGTAGCTATATTGTAACACATAAGGTAAATTTAAGCCTGAAATTTGGCTGTCAATTTAACAAAGGAAGATATTGTCCAAACTTATTGTATTCATTCAATTTTGGTGATATATGTTTGAATAATGTTGAGTTTGGTCGCTTTCTTTCAATTTAGCTCATCCAGTTGGCTGTATATTTAAATTACGAATATATGCCTGCAGCTTGGATTTCAAGCGTTTGCTTACAGATGTTTTATCAAAAGGTTAATGGCATTCAAATTTCAACTTTGCTAAGCTAAGTGGTTTTACTGTTTTTCGAGTAATATAAAACATGGAATTGCTTCTTTACCTTTCAGTTCATCTCTTCCCTTCCTTTCCCTTCCCTTCCATTGCTCCCCAGGCAGAAAATCTTCGTTTTTGTTAATTTTCCATCAATGTACCAAGGAAAAGATTAAAATTACTAGTTACATAACTTACATTTTCCATCAAAGTACCAAAGAAAGGATTAAAATTCCTAGTTACATAACTTATATTTTCCTCTTTGATGATTGGAAAGTCAATTTGTCGCCCAACCAAATAAAGCCTAAGAGAGAGTTCCGCAGAGATGGAGAATTGGTATCATAATTGTAATAAAGAGCAAGAAGTAATCATCCAATAGAAATAAGTATATACCGATAATTGTACTCCCATTATGAAGGAAACATGGTACCTAATACCTATACAGAAGATTCATTATTTCATTCATGATATGCAATGACTATTGACAATTTAAGCATTAATCAAGCTATACCAAGTTACCAACCATTGATATGGTTGATTGCCAAGCCTTTTTTAAATGGTTAGGAATTGGGAGAGGAGCTTATTTGGTCCCAAAAGCCATAACTCATTCTGTTTTAAAGGTTACAGAAGTAGTGAATAAAATCTAGGAATCTCCGCCCCAAAGAATCCATTATAGGTAGGAGTCGAGGTGAAACATCTACGTACCAACTACACCAAATAATACAAACTTTTTTTTTTTTTTTTTAACATAGCGAACTCTTATCTTTTGAATTTTTATAATTAATGCTAACAAGTAACAAGCATGTTTTCTATATGCTTCTTCGGTTCTTCCATATATACGTTATCATCCTTCTCATTTTTTTCTAACTTTTCCCGAATCTCATATATATATATATATATATATATATATATATATATATATATATAGAAATGGGATCATGTGAGAACCCATGGCTTAGGTGAGAACCATTTTAAAATGAGAACTCATCTAACACCATTCATTTTTATTAGATGAATGGTTCAGATTTATTGTTTCATTAGTGGGAATTCACGTGGGCTACCTTCATTAATTGTAATGATTGTTTGTATTTTTTTTTTTTAATTTTTGTGCATTGGGACACAAAATCTGCCAAAAGCTGTCATTATTACATATTTTTTTATTATTTATTGCATTGAAACACGTTACGTTAAAATGTAGTTGAAGTGTACGTCGTTAATGATGTTTCGTAAAATATATCAAGTGTTCAATTTATAATATTAATGTTTCATATATATTATTGCTTGTTTCATACAGTTGGGCTCTATATGAACTAGGTGTAATGTGATTTCTTATACCTTATCTGATGTTTCAAAAAATATACCTTATGTTTCATTTTATACTACTTATGTTCCATAAATATATGTATTGTTTCATATACTAATGATATTGTTTTATACATAAAAATCATTGATGTTTCATATAATATTTTATTCGAATATTATTATATTGTTCTAGAAATATGAACTATTGTCCCATAAATATTATACATTACTCCATACCATATGTGTGAAATGTACCAATGACTGAAATGCGTGTTCCCAAGAAAATTAAAAAGCATGTACCAATGACTGAAATGCGTGTTCCCAAGAAAATGCATGGGAAAGTGATAATTAATCTCAGTCATCCATTATGTGTAATTGGTGTACGTTAATGATGTTTCGTAAAATATATCAAGTGTTTCAATTTATAATATTAATGTTTCATATATATTATTGCTTATTTCATATAGTTGGGCTCTATATGAACTAGGTTTACTGTGATTTTTTATACCTTATTGATGTTTCAAAAAACATACCTTATGTTTCATTTTATACTACTAATGTTCCATAAAATATATGTATTATTTCATATACTAATGATATTGTTTTATGGGACAATAGTTCATATTTCTGGAACAATATAAATAATATCCGAATGAAATATTATATTATGTATAAAAGAATATCATTAGTATATGAAACAATACATATATTTTATGGAACATAAGTAGTATAAAATGAAACATAAGGTATGTTTTTTTAAACATCAATAAGGTATAAGAAATCACAGTAAACCTAGTTCATATATAGCCCAACTATATGAAACAAGCAATAATATATATGAAACATTAATATTATAAATTGAAACACTTAATATATTTAATGAAACATCATTAACGTACACTTCAACTACATTTTAACTTAACGTTGACAACACAATTCAATGTAACATTACATTTTTTAATTGAAACAGCGACAAGTCTTTTTGAAACAATAATAACATCTTTTGAAACATCTCAAAATTATTCCTTTAATACAATAAAATAAGTAATTAATACTGTTCCAATTGGATGATATGCCCGTTATTGTCAATACAATTTATATTGTTCCAGAAATATGAATTATTGTCCCATAAATATTATATATTGTTCCATATATAAGAACTAGTGTTCCAATTACATGATATGCCCCTAGTTTTCGAATTTTAAATATGTCGTTCCAGAATTTTCAACTATTGTACCACATACGGATTTGCTCTTTTTTTGCACTACTTCGAAAATTCTACAAAAAAAAATATCAAACGAACTCCAAAAATTCAGATATTTTGTATGCTTATTCTACACAAAAAAATAAGCAGATTCAAAAAAAGAATCGCTTCAAAAGGGTTTTTTATGAGAGAGAAATCTTCATTTGAAATCCGTCTTTCCAGATTTGCTCCTTTTTTGCACTACTTCGAAAATTCTACCCAAAAAAATATCAAACGAACTCCAAAAATTATGAAATTTTGTATGCTTATTCTACACAAAAAAATAATCAAATTAAAAAAAAATCTCTTCAAAAGCTTTCTTTATGAGAGAGAAATTTTCATTTGAAATCTGCCTTCATTTCTCTCTCTTCAATGGCTAAATTAAAATGAAACCAGATTTTCCATTTTCTCTCTCTTCAATGGCTGAATCTCTTGGTTTTATAGTACATAAATCGGTATTTCAATGCAGAAAATAAGGAAAAAAAGTAAAAAACATGTACTAATGACTGAAATGCGTGTTCCCAAGAAAATGCATGGGAAAGTGATAATTAATCTCAGCCATCCATAATCTCAAAATTGATGGTGTAAGATTGGTTCTTATTTTAAGAGGGTTCTCACCTAAGGGGTGGGTTCTCACATGATCCCTCCCCTATATATATATATATATATATATATATATATATATATATATATATATATATATATATATATATATATATATATATATATATATATATATATATATATATATATATATATATATATATAATGTTTAGAATCCTTTTGTGAGACAAATTTGATCAAAGTAAGAACGTCATTGTGGAACGGAAGAAGTATTATTGTTGTTTATAGCAATTATTAAGGGCATGTTCTCATTGAATGAACTGAATTGAACTGAGCTGAACTGAACTGAAATGAATATTTTATAAGAGAAGGAAATTAGGAACTGAACTGAATATTTTATAAGAGAAGGAAATTAGGAGCTGAGCTGAGTTGAGTTGAACTGAACTAAACTGAACTGAGCTGAACTGAACTGAACTGAACTGAATTTCAATGTAAGAGAACAGACCCTAATAATATGTTTTTAGTCTACCTATAGACATTATCAATTCACAATTATAACCATGATATATTTTTTGGGTCAACCTAACCGATTTTGTGGGCTAAACACTTTAAATTAGAGGGAGAGTTAAGACAAAGCCCTATCCTCGAGTGTCTCTAATGGAAATCGAAGACTCAAGACCGAGTTTTGCTAATTTTAACGTTGATATCACATACTTGTGGATTAGATATATTCTGCCAACCAACTAATGATATACCTACAATCAAGTTTAAGAAAAAGAGTTTATGGTATTGGAATAATTATTTATTTGATTATTAATAAAAATCATCAACTAAGAGTTTCAAAAATGTTGACATGGAGTAATATCGATTTTTTTTTTTAAACTCATCTACAAGTCTATTTCATAAAGTACATCTTAAAACATGGAGTATTAAGGAGCGATTTTGTTTCAATATTATGGTGCTTGCTTTCAAGATTTTAGAACATTTTTAAATTGAACCTGATAGTCTTTATTCAAAATATTTGGTACATTTCGAGCTTTACAGAAAAGTTTTTGAAGTTCAAATGTGGCGTAGTTACTCTAGTATGACTGTATGATAAATTGATAATATATTGCGATTTTATTACGTATTAAAATATAAATAAACCAAAATAATTTAATATAAATAAATAAAAAGAGAATATTTATTAACACTGGTCCCGTAGCTCAGTTGGTTAGAGCGTTGGTCTTATGAGCCGAAGGTCGCGGGTTCGAGCCCCGCCGGGACCAAAATTTAAAAGTTATTTATTTTTATTTTTTAAAAAAAAATCATTTCAAAACTCTCAATTTCCGTCAAAGGTAGTAGGGGCCCACAATTGGCTTTTTATGCTTTTCAACGCTACGTCGTTCAAATCGAGGAGAATGCCAGTGTTTCATTTTATTTTTTTTTTGAAAAAATAGACGGTCCAAATTTCAAGTAATTCCCAGGCTTTTTCATCGGACCCGGAATCAACGGCCAACAAAGCCCAAGAAAATACAAATGTAACCAAAAACAGTCAGAATTTCACCATATTTTTTTGTCTCACATCTCAGATATATTCTAGCATATGAGATATGATGACTGTATCAACACACTGCTGTATCAAACATTTCAAAAAAAAAAAAAAAAGATTTTGTTACTTTGTTAGTTAAGATTATTAAACATGTTGATAATTAATAATTATCAAATTTATAATAAACGAAAAATAATAATTAAATGGATAGAAAATTTTGCGTGGACCTGGTCCACAATAATATTATTGTGGACCTAAGGTTTATACACACGTAACTGACATTATATTCGACATAGTGACTCTTAATTTTAATATAGTAATCTTAT